TTGCTTTATGTGGTGCGCAACCCTGAGCTTGTGCAAGCGGTTGTCCGTTACGTGATGGGGAATGTGATTGGGGTGAAACGAAAACTTGCCATGAAACATCTCAGAAGACGTTGCAAGCAGCTACGGTTGCAATTGCCGCTCGGACAATGTTCCATTCGCCTGCCATGGTGCATTCATGAAAGCCATATCTCACGCACGAAGTCTGTCCTGCAAGGGTTTGTCCTTCAGCTTTTCTGGAACCAGCATTTCCAGGCTGGATTGTTCAGCCATGGCAAGTTGAAGCTTAGGTTCAGTTGGGTCCCGCTACCCTCTGTCATCCAGCTTATTCGCACTGCACACAAGTACAACAAGCGCTTGGATTCCGAGTCTACATGTGTTTGTGTTTGCTCCAGGCCTGAATTTGCCCCCGGAAGCATGGGCATGTATGTGCCCGTCAGTCTGAGATACCATGGCCAGAGCACTTGAACCACTTGAGGAACATAGCTGTGCAAACGCGTGTAGTGCCTCACGAAACATGGGCTTCAACCCGCATTGCCCTGGCCCTCACCGAACTTGCCAAAAAAGTTAAAGACCCCTACTCGGACAACGTTCCGCAAAGCAAGCTAGATGAGTTGTGTGCGCATTTTACGAAGCAGATGCTGCGCGAGTGGGGCCTTTCAGGTGATGGCCCGCAGCATCCATCGCATGAACGTTTAATCACTATGATGCAAGTCAATGGTATCAGTGCTTTCTGCAAGGGTCTTTACATTGATGTTTTAGATAAGAACCCCACGGCATTTGGTGCAACTTGCCCTTTCCTCGTCAGAGAGCTGGCGGCAGGCATCTTTGAGTTTCCCATGTCCAACTCTTGGACCAAGGGTAGACACTTTGTACTCACTGAACCTGTGAACACACACACTTTGACAGGGGTGTTGCAAACTGCTTTCCAGACCGGTGATGTTGTTCAAGCTGACGACAGCTCTGAGGCCGCGTGCGTGTTCAAAGGACGATCCTATCCTTCCAGTTGTTTTCTCGGTAGGGTACGCGCCATAGGTGGGGATACTTTTCGGTACGAGAACCTCCCAAGTCTTGATGTGTCAGGGATACACATTCCAGGACTCAGCGAATGGCTCCAGCCAGATGTCTTGAATGCAAAACACAAGGCTGTAGTAAAAAGCATGAGAGGTTTGAGACCTCTAATGTGGACCCCGGTGCGAATCTTGCAGAAACACAAGGATTTGTTGCGAGTCAGGCCCCTTGGGGATCAAAGTGTTTGCCCAACAGCTCTGTTGTTCAGACTCGTCGCAAGATGCATTGAGCTATGCATTGCATCGCTCCCAACATCAAGCCACTTTGACCGCACATCCCACGAAGCAGCTACGAGCTTCCTCAAGCATATGCAGTCTGACCCGCTGGGCACGGGGCAACCGTTGTCTGAGCTCCGCAACTATGGCGTGTTTGTCCTGTCGAGGGACATAGAGAATGGGTTCATGAACGTGCTTCATTGTGAAATCACGGATGCCTGGAATCAGATTAGCACGATCTTGATTGGCAGAGGCTGCACTAGAGCGTGGGTCTCCCCGTGTAAGGCTAAACAGGCTGGGTCTTTCCAGCTCTTGCCCCATGCATCATGGACACGCCCCAAGAGTGGCACATGGATTGAAATCCCGTTGTGTGCAGTCCAACATGTGTTGTGTTTTGCGTGTCTGAACATGCATATCAAGTTTGGAGCTGCGCCGGGATGCCAAACGAAAGGGATTACCATGGGCTCTAGTCTTGGAGGTGCATTGTTTCGCCTGGTGCTCGTGGTGCATGAAATGCGCGCGCTTGTTGGGGACCAGCCTGCAACAGAAGTCATCAGAAGCAGATTGCCTGGATCGAATGCATCATGCATGCGATTTATGGATGATGTGCGAGTGTTCATAGTTGCCCCGCTGGTTTACTCTTCAAAATGCTTGGAAGATGCAGCCAACACCTTCTTGAGCCAAATCTATCCTCCCCATTTCCCTTTGAAGCCGGATAGTGTGAACCCGTGCGTAGGGTTGGAGCTCGTCTTTGGGCGCCGGCTGCATTGGACAGCACACATCAAGGGATTAACCTGTGGATACGACAATAAGCCCAATCTGTGTGCGCCGTTTGTGTCTGCACAACCAGTGCAGCAAAAGCATGCGATTGTCGTAGGGGCCTTTTCGCGATGCAAACAGCTCAGCTCTTGTCTGAAGTGGACCATGGTGGCACTTGCTGATGTTTCTTACAAGTTCACACAGGAAGCAGGCTACCCGCATGCGTTGATCACTAAGTGGCTAAAGGATTGGTGCATGACAGTGTACGGTAGCCGAGGGCTACGACTGCACAAGGATGTCCTTGCTCGTATGGGCCAGAGCGAGAAGCATGAAAGCCCCATTCACCGAGACTCTTTCTCGTCAGATGTCGTGTTCTGTCCAGTGGGTGCCACGGATTGGAGATGCATTTAGTAGTATGCTCATGGTGCATGTGCCTGCACTGCGTGTTGGCACCCTGTAGTTGACTGACTGCGGATGGCATTCGATGTCAAGGAACAAATGGCGTACGAGCGAAGTGCATAGGACGTAGGTTTTGCTAGTTGTTGAAGCTTTTTCCCCCCCCCCGTTCTGTTGCCCTTGATGTTCTGATTTTGTGTTCTGTTCCAGAACCACGACTGGCATGATCCTGCACTAATCGGTCTTTCTTTGACCTGCTTTTGTAGTTTGCATTCGATGACTCGTCAACATGACTAGTTCTGGGCAGTACAACTGTGACGACTTGCTTACACATGTCTTTCAGTGCGGTGCAGCTGTGACGACTTGCTTACACATGTCCGTCAGTGCAGTACGGCTGTGACGACTTGCTTACACATGTCATTCAGTGCAATGCAGCTGTGACGATTTGCTTACACATGTCATTTAGTGCAGTGCAGCTGTGACTTTTTGCTTACACTTGTTATTCAGCGCAGTGCAGCTGTGACGACTAGCTTACACATGTCATTCAGTGCAGTGCAGCTGTGACGACTTCGACTTGCATACACATGTCCTCCAAGGCGGTGAAGCCGTCGCAAATCACAAACACTTTCATACACATCTCATTCTGTGTAGTGCTGCTTGATCTGCCAGGTCTATCTGTGTTGCTGTCGAGTGTCCGCCTTGTTGCATGCCGGCTGAAACCATGTGTACTGTACTGGCGGCACTGCTCCGCGCTTTCCATGCTGTTGACAGGGTGGCCAGCGAAATTGAAGTTGAACAGGTTCTCTATAGCACCGTGATAAAGAATCGCACGCTGCGGACATGTGATGCCCTTGGATGCCCCGAGCTTAAATCCTCTTGATGCGTCTTCGGCCACTGGCCTTCTGTCTTCGGCCACTGGCCAAAAACGAACCAAAACTGTATTGCCGTGTATCCGGATTTAAGTGTGGCAACAAGCAACGCCCGGCAGGGTGGAGTAACAATAGTTGCTTGACCACACGCGGCTCCCTGCCAAACCTGGTCTCTGCCACTGGCAACTTGAATCTCGGTCATGCGCCACAGTTATTTTGTGAGTTTGATGAATGCTCCCCCCCCCTTCCTCCGTATGCTCCACGGGCCAGATGGAACTGGGCGAGGGGCTGGGAAAGCCGCTTTACGCCTTGAAGCGCGCAGGGGTAGGACCTCCAGGCGGCCGCGTAATTACTTTAGAACGAAACGTAGCTAGAACTAAAAATCATGCAACGCCTGCACAAACAACCAAAAGTCCAAAGTCGAGTTTCGCAGGTCCCTTTTGCGAAGCGGTAGTTTTGGACATCAACTTCGTGTTTGAGGGGCGCATGTGGGCTTTGTGGATTTCCGGGGTTCTGCTTCCAGAACGAAAAACCTAGGTTTTGCATAGCTATGGCAAATATGGCTGAATTTTCGAAAATACGTTTGGACGGTTTTTGGCTACCGAAGTTCGCCTTTAAGCGCGGAGCGGTAGGACCGTCAGGCGGTCGTCTAATTAGCACGGCACATAGCTTGAAGGAAAAACCATGCAAGGCTTTGGGAAAAAACAATTAAGGGACCGGATAACCCCAAATGTGAAGACCAACTATTCGTAAAGAGTGCAAAGGTGTATCAGGGAGTAAACGAGTGAGTAAGTGCAGGAGTGAGTGCGTACCTGGGTGTGAGCAAGTGAGTGCGCGCGGCCTGTTACGGAACAGTCGTGTGTGGTGTGTGATTGATCACGAAGATGGGTGCATGATGTGTGCATGTGTGGTGTGTGAGTGCACTGTGTGTGTGTGTGTGGGGTGTGTGAGTGACCATGAGGACGAGTCCATGGCCTTTAATGCAGCATGCGGTAGACAAGAAAGCTCAAGACATGCCATCGCTATCGCAGAAGCAACCTTAGCTCAGTCCTACCTGGCAAGACTGCCTGGAACAGACGGCAACTCTGCGGCGGCGAGGCAGTTATCCGCACCACCGCACCACTCCTTTTTGACTGAGTCTAGCTGCAGGCTCTCCATTCCGGGTCGCATTGCCTCTCTTCCAAGGTCAGCTTGCGACGCCGTCGCGCCGAGGTAGTAGAGCTGGAGGAAAAAACACTCACGCTCCACGAGGCACGATCGAACCTATGAGCAGCGGCCGAGAGGAGCACATACTTGGGCACCACCTACACACACAAACACAGACACACACACACACATACACACCTACGGGTGGCTTGGATCCAGGCAACCGTAGCGAGCACTCAAGTCACTCTGATCTTTCCTGGCAACGAAAAGCCTGTCAAAGCGGAGTCGTACAACGGTCTGCAAAAACGCATGCCTGAAAGAACGAAGGAAAGTTAATGCATTCACAAGAAGACGTAGTTTGGAACATGCCCTTTCCACTGCGCCGCGCAGGTTGGGTGGCGCCATGTTGAAAAACCAGACTTCGAACAAAACAGAGTTGGGGCATGGAGCAGTTTGTTTGGCATGGGATGTGACAGCGTGTGATCAGCACACCGGTAGGTTGGAAGTATATCATATTATATGCAATTCTTGTGCAGAGATGCCTGAGGTAATGGTTGCTTCTGGCACACCCAGTATGATGCATTCTTGGTGGAGCAAGATGCCGCCGGTCCATTTAGGGGCCGGAACATGAGCCAGATCACAAGCCTCGTTGGTTTTGCCGGGGGCCGCTTCCCGGTTGCGATTCAAGCTCTGGCGTTATTCACATGGCTGCATCTGGAACAAGTGTTTGAAGTCGTCCGTCCAGTGGTCGTCACGAGGTTACCAAAGTGCCGGCGGTGCGGTTTGCTATGGTGGTCTGCCGGCCACGGACTACAGTCGACTAGGCGCTTCGACGTGCCATTTTGTGATAACAGTCGCACAGTTTGCCAACTTGTTAGGCCATGCAGAGGCAGTTTCAATCATGCTAGACGAGATCACTGGGCCAGTCGCGAGGAGTCAGGCACCCCTGTGCTTTGCAGTCCCCGTCGCACAAACACGAGGGATTAGCCTGCGAGACCTTACGAGTCACAGGTGTCAGCTTTGGCACAGATGTACTTCGAACATGGCTTCCAATCACTGCCAGATGGTCGAAGGCAAGGTCACTTTTGTCCAAGCTCTCTGCTTCGGAACTGCATGAGATTTCCCTTCCTAGCTGGTACGCTGTGCCAAGGAACGTGTCCCTCGGGTCTTCTCTCTCTCTGCCTGTCTCATCCTTCTTTGTCGGAAGAGATCAACCCTGATGTTTCAACGATTTGGGCAGTTGCAAGAAATGAAGAGACAGGTATGTTTGGCACAGCACCTTGTATTTGTAAGCAGGCACTCGGAGGTTCCGCCCCATGAGGGAACCCTCAAAAGGTCGTCAATTCGACGCCCCTCTGGTCGTGCTACTTCCTCGCAAATTCCGTGAAACACCATCACGAGAGCACTGGCCCATGTCATCAATGATAACGGAGAAGACGGTCAGTAAAGCTTAGATGCCTTAGAATTGCCAAGACAAGGAAAGGTCTCAGAATCCCCTGTTAGCAAAACCCAGCAGTAGTGCAAGAACCAGCTTAGAGCACGAATTCGGTCTCGAGCACATCCCTTCCGAGGCAGCGGCTAGATCCTCAGGATGTGGGGGCTTCGTATCGAAATGCTCCTTCGCTGCAACCTAGCAGGAGTGTCTTGAACTAAAGATCCTTCTTTCGAACTCCACTTTTGTTTATCTCCTCCCTGCTGCTGCAATAATTTTTCCGAAGTTTGGAGGGAGGATCTGTTGCAATGCAGCCGCGTCGACAGTGGATCCATGGATAGGCAGTCACATTGCAAGCACACGTGTATCCTTCGTTGCAATAGATTCACCTAGATTCTTCCAGTAACATCGCTGTACGTGCCACAAGCGCGGGTCATGTTGTCTCACAATGAGACGCTTACATTGGTGCGCCCCTTGTTGCTTCAGAGAGGACGAGCCTACAAGAAGGTGAAGCGCGCTTTTCTGCGCCCAGCCATCCCTGGCGAGAAGATTCAAACCATCTTGGATGGGAAAACCGAAACAGAAAATGTGGCGAGCGAGGGTGACATGGTTGTGCGTGCTGACACTTCCTTTAAGGAAGAGTACATCTTGAAGGCAACTGATTTTCACGAAGTTTATGATGCCAACAATCCTTTACGGATCGACACGCATCCGGATGCAGAGGAACTTCGAGCAAGGGGTTTTCAGTCCTATGCTCCTACCAGACGAGTGCTTGCCATCCAAGCGGACCAGGACCTTTTGAAGCTGTTTCCGGATGGCCATTTCGAAGCATCATGGGGATCGCCGATGTGCGTGGAAGCCGGTGATTATCTGGCAAGCGGCCGTAGCCTCAACGATGGCACCATTGCGGAAATAATCCGTATCCAGCAGAGTGCATTTCACCAGACATATGAACTGGCATGATAAGTTACTCGCCACACGGCAGCTGCTCCCCTGTTTACAGATCGTGTAGACTACTTGTTGTCGCAGAAAACATGACCAGTGTCCGAACGCGGAGCAAACGCTCGCTGCAACATGTTGCTTGTTTTCTGGACACATGCAGGTGATTGCAGGTGGGGCAGAGTATAGGTGCAGCGAGAGCCGTTGACTGCCCACTGCTCACCCGCAGCAGTACATATTCATGCACCGTGTGGTAGCAACTTCAAGTTGCTCGAAGTGCTGAACAGCACTGGTTCAAGCGCTCTACATGCGTGGCATATCACCGTGCTGGCATGATCTGTGAAGAGCCTAGGCCTGGGGCGTGAGCAAATAATGACAGGTGATTGGACTACCCGGCGGGATGGACAACTCCGAACTATGGCCTTTGTTTGAGGAGTCATGGACGGTGTTGTGACGAAGCTGCATGTGCAGCCTGAAGCCAGGAAGCAAACACATATGGAATGCCGCTTCTTCGAGGAGCAGTGGGTGACTCTGAAGGCGGAATGATTCAGCTGTCGAGGATAAGCTGACGAGTGTTCACAATATGACCCTCACATCAACTCCCCGCAGAAGGCTTTAGTTCCTGCAGTCACACTCGCAAGCTTCTAAGTGCTCCTTGCCGTGGTTATTCCTATTGGCTCGCTCAAGTCTCATCCAAAGGTGCCGTGTTACATTCTAGTTCCCAGTTGAAGAGATATTGGGAATGATGGCAATTCTAGCTGGCAAAAGTAGAGCCGATAAATCTTGAAAGGCTTATTCCTCCTCCAGGCGAGTACGTCGTCTATGTGTACGACTCCATGCAGTACCCGTTCTTCCGCGGTGAAGCACACCACCAGCTCGGTTCCTACATGTTGTCATGCTTTTACACCGAAAAGATGCGCAGCTGCAAGCAGCATTTGATGCTAGCCCAGGTTTCATCCCAACAACGTCATACAAAGACCAGTTCCATTGTCCTACACGTCGACATTGAAGAGCGTGCAGGTAACTCCGCTCATGGGCCTGATAGCGCTTGCAAAATCCTCCAGAATCTGCGCAGGAGGAGATGGGAAGGCTGGAGGATTCCGACAGGCCACTGATGGCCTGCTGTAGTTAGTGCATCAGAGCGAGAGAGAGACAAAGAGAGCAACAGAGAGAGATGTCATTTTGGCTCAACGAGCCCCCCCCATTGAGAGAGGACCTCAACCAAGGGCGAAGAGAGAGCCGGAGTGAGCCCGGGCACATACCTTGCGAGCTCGCCTACCAGTCTGCTGCACTACTTCGGGACACCTTCACCGCTCGGGGCGGCGACATCGGTGTCTTCACTCCTGTACGGTGTCTGTGCGCTCTTGCTTAGGGAGATTGACAACCCTCGTCTCCCAGGAGATCGGCGAGCCTACAGGGGGGCAAGATCGAGCATACCGCCACGCGCACATCGCTGGGCGGGCGGGCGGGGATGGTTAGGGCGGCGGGGCGGTGGGGGCGGTGGGGGTGGTGCTACAAAGGCAGGTGAGGGCAGTGAGGGCGGTAGGGGTGGTGAGGGCGGCGGTGGCGGTGGGGGCGGTGTGGGCGCGGAGGGGTCCGGGCACACATTGGCAGCCTTTAAATATTCTTATATACTCTTTAAATACCTACAAATACAGCGGTGAAGGACTCTTTAAACAGAGCGGTGGTGGAGGTTGTGAGGGCGGTGGGGGCGGTGAGGACGGTGGGGGCAGTGGGGGCGCGGAGAGGTCCGGGCACACATTGGCAGCCTTTAAATACTCTTTACACCTACAAATACAGCGGTGAAAGACTCTTTGAACAGAGCGGTGGAGGCGGTGGAAGCGGTGTGGGTGCGGACACCTCTCGGGATATCACGGGCGCCGCCCGCAGGGGTCGGCGGATTCATTCACATAATACAGAACAAGAAGAGTACTGAAGTTTCAGTGTTGGGTCGCTAGATTCATTATCAGCGCCATTAAACAAGAACAGGGGATGACGTCCGATTGTCACACTCCTCCAACGCCCCCATGAACATCGGGGGGACCCTTGCAGCCGGGGGGCTTCGAACACCCCTCATGCCCCGGAAAAAAAAACGAGAGACAAAGCAAGATACAGGGAGCCGGGAGCCAATGTGACAGGGGCTGCCCTGACATTCCTTTCTATGAGATCGTTTTCGTGATCGTGCCGCAACCTCAGCAGTGGCGGCAGGGGAGCGCAGTCGTGCGACATCCCGAGAGCTCAGCTTGCTCAGTGTATTCCGAATGTAGCAGGCAGCGTTCCACGTCTCGTTTTTTGCCTAGAGTTGTATGTAGGCAAGCGTAGATGTCTTGCAGTGTCCCAAACTGAACCTTGACATTCTCCGCTGCATTCTGATCTTCTGAGGATGCTGTTTTCCATGACGCTTTCCAGTGGGATTGTGAGACTAAGCAGCAAAGATGGGCTGTTTCGACACCTTCATCGGACGGATGTTTGCATCGCAAGGTTTCTATACAGAACCCTGGTAGAGCCGGATGCTCTCTGCTCTATTCAGCAATTTCGCTCGAACAGCGCTGCAGCGTGCCTCGGCCGTGTCAACAGGCTCTTGAGTATTCTTGAGTGATGGACCTAGGACGGTTTCTCTCGCTTGAATTCAGGTTTCCTGCATCTTCCTGATTCTGAGGTAGCTCGACATGCCGTGTTTCCGAAGGAAAAGCGGCTTTTGCTGATCATGTACAGCAGCAGGTTTGCGTGCCAAATTCGACCCACTATTTGAGACTTGCCGATGCACGCCACGAGGCTGTGCCCGCGGCACGTTCGATGAAGCAGTATCCAAATCCAGAGCTGTCCATGCAATTTATTAGCTTCGTATTCAACTTTGCACTCGTTCTGCAGATTTTTTAAAACTTTGCGGCTTAAGTCGTTTCGCGTTGCTGAACTAGGCACTCTGGTTACAGGGGCGGTGGATTCTCTCGGGATGCCGGGTACTCAGAAACTTAGGACCGTGCAGCTTGCAAGGGAAAGGACATAAAGGAACGGAATTTTTCCAGGACATTCCTGGGACGACACTGGAAGAGCTGCTCAGAAGCTTCTCCAGGCCGCAGCATTGCATAGCATTGCTGCCGTGCTTCTGTCGGCGCGAGCTGCCTTGCGAGCAGCTTGCGAGGCTGGAGCGGATCGACGGCTACAAGTGCGAGAAGTGCAGACAGCAGCGATCTCAGGCTCAGGCCGCTCAGGCCGCTCAGGTGGCTCAGGCCGCTCAGGTGGCTCAGGTGGCTCAGGCTCTGAGAATACGGATCAGTTCTGCAGGACGGGGTGTGTGCGAAGCGCATACATCAAACGGCCACCGAACAACCTCGTGTTTTACATTGACCGGCGCCAGGCCACAGCTCCCGAGCGTGTGGGCAGAGTCTCAAGCGAGCAAGCGGGTTTTTCAGGATTCCAGCCGATTCGGCAAGATCAACCGTGCCGTGCAGTGCGCAGCTCAGAATCTGCATTTGCACAGAACGGTCGATCCGCTTGGAAGTGTCGTTATGCAAGCGTGGCCACTCCAAAAAACGGGCTGCACGCACGCAGCGGAGGGGATTGGGGCATGGGGCGTAACGATTCTTTATCTTTAACCTGCATTAGGGAAGACAGAGCTTTGAGAGGCAGTGTCCTGGCGACAGCGACGGGTTCTTTCTTGTTTTTCAAATGCTACTTCGTCGACATTGATTGTTGTAACCAACTTTGGCAACCAATTCAGGTCACTCCAAATGACCGTCTCAGCGCTGTAGCTCGCTACAGGAAAGATTCCTTCCAGGAGTTCTCCTCAGTCTTGTGGTGAAAGCCCGGCACTCTTCCTTTTTGGTTTTATTGGGCCTTTTTGACTGGCACAGACCAGGTTAGTCTATGGACCAGAAGGAATATTCCGGCAACTGACAATGTGCCTTTTTGGTTCACGTACTATTCCCATAACTGTGCACTCTAAAATCTAAATCAATCCAAATCATGTTCGATGCTGACAGCTACATCTTTTGTTTGCCTTTCTTCTTAGCCACGACCATCTTGCCAACCAACCTTGTCCACGACCTAAACAATAAGCTCGTGCTCACCAACGGCCTGCAGCTCAATGTCCTTGTCTTGTTACCTCAATCCCCGTCCTACCTGCCCCTTCTTCTACGTTCGATCTTGCAGCAGTCTTTCCACACATTTGAAACGAAGTTCGATGTACGTACATCATCAGCGCGTCGAAGTTGCTCAGCACCAGCATGAAGCTGAAGATGCACCTTCAAGCCGAACAGTCAGCCAATGTCGCGACTACGTCGCTTGCTGAAGCCACGGCGAGACTGCGAACGACGGTCTGCCGACATCCATCCTACAAGTCCTGTCGGCTTCCACCACACCTCCGCCGGCTACAGATCCTACGGCGACATCTACAGCAGCGGTTCTTCTTCGCATCCGTAAACTTTGCAGCGCATTGTCTTGTTCTGTCACAAACCCGGAGGCCTTTTCCGCAATTTTTTCTCTTCCTCCGTCCCCTCTTGCAGTTTCGCATGTAAATGTGGACTCCGTTGGGGAGACAGCAGTGCTCTGACCTTTCATCTCACCCGACAAGAATCAGCTGTGCTCTCACTTCGTCTTCTGGCGTGACCACGCCACTGACGCGGAACGTGGCCGTGCGCTAAGTTCGGAGCTTGGGAGCAAATTTTCCCGGCCTTCGAAACTAATTCTTCGGCATTCTCGGAGCTCTTGAATTGGCCATTGATGCTGATTATGTTCGTCGCCGCGCTAAAGGGCTATCCAGATCTAGAGGCTTAGATTGTACCAATACCGATCCGTGGACGGAAATTCGGGCCAAGAGTGCTGGAAGAACCGTTTCTGTGCGTAAGGTGAAGGCTCATCTTTCATCGGAGTTGTCTTGGATTGGAAATCGTGAGGCAGATTTGCGGTCCAAACCCACGTTAACAAGCATACGGATCTGGACAGAGCTGCTGTCGTTGACTGGGCTGACCGCCGCTTTTTGTTGAAGTTGCGGAGCACCTTGTCACTGCTGCTTTGCTGTGGATGCAGAAGGCTGACCCTTGCGCAGCCTTGGGTAATGTGCATGGCCCCAAAGGGCCAACGAAACAGCAGTTTCTCGAGCACCTCACCGTCACTCACCAACAGCATGTTTGGCAAGTGAAACCAGGGAAGGCTTGCAGCGCAAATTGTCGGTTGCTTCTTCGCAGTAACATGTCCCAGGCACGCTTGAAACAGTGTACATCACAGCAGTGCATCGGAGCGGGTAGTGCTACTGTCCCGGTTGGTCACCCCAGCCACTTATTGAAACAGGAGGGTTTGATTTGGAAGTGTGTCTTTCGCAGTAAGCGCACCCGAACTGCGGCTTTCTTTGAACACTTTCGCCTGCCGTGCCGATCTAGGCAAGGGAGGAGGCCGGTCTTGCGTTAAGAAGGTTCCTTTACAGCTTGGCTTAGGAAAAGGACCGAGTACCTTGCGCCCGCAACGCCGGTAGGAAACGGAAGCTTGGTAAATCTTGGTAAGATGAACATTGGCCACTCCTGCTCCACATAATTGCAAACCCATACAAGCATTTGTAGAGGCACAAATCTGCAAGTCTTGTTGAGCAGCTGCTTCATTAGCCCATTGGATATCGTCAGTAACATCTGCAGCACATCGTGATTGAATTCCTTACTTACCCCGGTTGTATATGTTTAGGATGTGATGCTGCTACGTTTTGATTCTGACCTTTCAGCCCTTGCTAAAGGAAATGCAATGCGAAGGGCCAGGCAACTCAAGACAACCAATGGAGCTGTGCCTAGGGCCTGATCAAAAGCTGGAAACTTCTGAGAACTCGTCACAAATGCAAACCAAAAATCGGTCCAGCGGTCCAGCTTGACGAGTCCACGAGTAATTTCGTTTGGCCTGCTAGCCTGCGTCTACCTACAAGTGCAAGGGGTTGTAGCGGAATCCGTCTCAGCTGGACAGGTTCCCACAAGAGCTTGATGCTACACCTTTTGTGGAGGCCATGACTCTGAGCATGGGTTTGTATGCAGTCCTGCTGCAATGGAAATAGCACGTTCCAGTAGGATCTCAGCATCACGTTTTTGAATAATCGATTGGACGCCCAACTTGGATGCCATGTATATAACTGTAGTACAAGCTAAACGAGCCCAACGAAGAAGGGCGAGCCAGTGACCAGGAGAGCTCCTCCGGAAGCTACCAGCTTTATGGGATCGTTGTGCCCTGAAGGCGGAACGCTGCAAGCAGCTCGCACTTCAGTCACCGCAGGTACACCAGGATTTCAATGGTTCGACCTTCTTTGGACACTACATTGCCTTCGTAAGGTTCTCAGCCGTTGGCTAGCTGTGGTGAATATGTGTGTATGCTTAGGGACGGTCTAGCAGGTCAAAGACAGAGAAAGGGGCTTGCACGGTGCTCAGAGTGATGAATTTTCGAGTTGTTTTGTGAGTATCTGAGTATGAGACGCGAGCCGCTGGATACTAGGTGGCACCGGGTGGACGACGACCAGGTGTCAGAAGTGCCATGGTCTGTGGTCAAGGAGCAGAACCGCTGGGCTTTCTGTTTGACTTGTAAATTCACAGTGAGCAATGTTTTTTGGGAAAGCTTGCCGAAACGTACTCGGCTTCACCAAAGAAGTTGCTGTCTGATGTTGTGACGTTGCAGCACCCTAACGCTGTTGATTGCAGGAGCAGCGAGCCAATCTCCTCTTCTATGCTGCGAAGACAGCACCTTCGGTGAATTTGGATGATATGATGACTCCAATCTACAGTCTACAGTACCTCCTCAGCCATCTCTGCGGGCTTCAAACGGCGCTTCCAAGGTGTCTTTGCCACCATGCGAGGATGGCATCAGCGAACCAATTCCAAGGCCTTTGAACACATGTCCACGCGCAAGACCCTAGAGCAACTAGAAAGACACTCTCCTAGGGAGTGATTGGGAGACTACACGGTGTCCGCGTGGGCCCTCGCACTAGGCCAAAGTCGGATGACACGGATGGCATGTGCAAAGGAGCAGCAAGGCGTGCCCGAGTGATCACAGCGCATGTCCGGACTTGCCTAGGGTAAATGTTGCCTAGCGGCACTGCTCCGGCACCAACCTTGTACTGCAGTCTTCCCAAAGAAGTTGCTTTGGCAGAGGCGTGTCCAAGAGGAGCACAACGTGCCTGTGGCAAGTGCGCCGAAGCCCGGACTTTTCCAACAAGATGCGAGGCGAATCCCACATGAAGAGACATGGTACGTTTAGGCATAAAGCCTGAAAGCATCCCGTAAAGCTGTGTCGTAAGCAGCATCAGCATTAGCAACCTGTTCCAATGGCCGTGGTACTCTGTGTGATCTACATGCGGCAGTGCAGCAACACGGGACCTGCCATGACAAGGGAGAAAGCACACCTGTCTTCTTGACGGTCTCATGTCAGGCGATGCGCCAACGAGACGAGTGAGGCAGTGGCACCACCGCGAGCAGTGCGAGCATAGTCCGAGTTGTGTTGTTACCAGTGTGGCTTTGGATCGGTGGGCGCCTCCAGCTCTCACAGAGTATCAAGACAAAGTTTAGCTTTTCCAGCTTTGGCGCCCTTGCACCTGCTCGGCAGCAGTCTAGATTTATGACTCAGTGCATTGAAGCCCAGCCAGCATGTAGAGTCTGCTGGCATCCCGTGGCTATGGCGGCACTGGCCTCTTCGCAAGACGACACCGACACTTCGCAGGAGCCTGCTTTGTCTTCTCGCTGATGCAGGCATGCGGTCCATGTCATTCCAAGTCCACATCTTTCCAGCTTGTGTGAAGGACATTGCAGAGACACGCAAGTTGCTGCAGCTGGCTGCGTGGGCTCGGGCAGCACATTTGTGTTGTTCCGGAAGTGCTGTGGCTCGAGCAAGGCAGCGGTGTTCGGAACTTCGATCTGCGGTCGAGACTGCCAAGGTGCAATGCTGTGGATAAACTTGACGTACTAATTCTGCAAGTAGGAGGAGGGCTTGTTTTAGTGTCTTGATAGTTGGAGACATCTGCGACAGAGAGACCTTTATGTGGCTCCTGAGAAAGTACGGATTGCTTCCAAGTTGTAGGTTTCGGAGGCAGCGATCGCAGCGCGCGACTGTGTGCGAGTGTAGTGCTCACGAAGGCTAAAGCACACTGCTATACCGTCCTGTGATGTTGGGCGATTGATTGGTGCGTCTTATGACAGGCTCAGCATGGTTGCTGCCTCAGTTGGGCAAACTGCGTGAAGATAAAGCGGTGTGATGTGCTTTGCCGCTTTGCTCGAAGGGACTTCGCTGGAGAATGCCTCTGAGGTGGGGCTGTTGGTGTTGGTGTCTGCATTCGCGTCCATGCGGCGGAGGTGAGGTGGTCGACGTCGCATGTTTCAACACCGTGCCTGTTTCCTGGAGGACAGGAACGGAGGCGCAAGGCAGTGTGTATGCGACTGCTTTGCAGGAGTTAATCAGCGAGCTGTGCGCTTTGCATCTGCCCCTATGACGCCTCTGAGCGCGTCGCCCACGCAGGCCAGATCTTGGCTCTAGTGCTGCGCACCTTTTACATCCTCTTACGATGTTGAAAGAGACTCTTGCAAGGCAGTCCCAGGGACGATGCAGTACTTTTGGCTGAGCTCCCAACATGCGTGCTTGCGAGTGCTCAGCCGCGCTGTGGTGAGCGGTGGTTCGCTTGGTTAAGGGCTTCTTCTTGGATCTGAGACCGGTGTGTGGTGACATGGTGGCAAAGGCCGAGTGTGACCTACGCTGCGCAGCCCGCGAAAGCCTCGCAACACACGCAACATCAACGAATTTGATCACCTTCGTGCGTTCGATGTCGAAGCGTTTGGCCAAGGTTGCCCGACAGCCCGTCTCGCTCCAGCTGCATGCTCCACAGGCAGCTCTTGACAGCCGTGATGCAGTTCTGCGCACGGCGCAGCTGTGACAGCTGTGATGCAGGTGTTTGGCACATCACCCACAACAGGTCATAGACAGGTGCAGGTGCCGGCGTTGGCCCCGGAGAGCCAGGGAGTGGTGGGGCAATCATGCGCCTGTGGCCAGAGCTATTTGTGCTTCTAAGATGTCTGCAATGCCATCCTCGCCTAACCCTCGGCTGCCAGACGATGCGACACAGCGTGATACCATATAACGTGAGTCATGATCGGCTTTTCTGAGCCGGGGTTTTCAGAATGTAAGTCACAATGTCCGTCCCTGGGTCAAGATGAAGGTTCAGTGCTTTGCTTCCCGGAGCTCACGTCGTCCAACCCGCCGCCGCCTGACCCGAAGATGCTGGAATCAGGCTTTGGGGCCATGTGGACACTTTGCGAACTCTTTAGAGATGAGGTTGGGAAAACACTCGGACTCCAGCGAGCGCATGACTCGAGCCGAAGTGCTGTGTAAGACAGGCAACAGAGTGTCCGTTGCTGTGAGGTGGAGACGGCTGCGGTGGCCTCGAGGCAAGCGGTCAAGCAGACTGATGCCGCAGGGCCTCCCGGCACCAACGTGAGGTGCTTAGGGCTTAGGGGAAGCGCGCGCTTTCTCTAAGCACGCGGTGGAGCTGGGCCTGGGCATTATATGAATCATGGCCATGTGCTTGCGCTTCAGCTCTCGAGGAGCAGACGAGTCCAGCAAGAAGCGGTCAGATAAGGCAACAGACCAAACCAAACATATGGCGATGTCCGGCTTGGCAGCGTGATAGTATGTGATAGTGATGGTCGAGTCATACTCGTGTTTGCCAGGCCGACTTTGGACCTTTTGTCCGAAGCTGAAATTGCTGTTCTGGCTTTCTGAGCATTGCATTGAGACTTTCTTCGTTTTGCTTGAGGCTCTCTGGAACGCGCTGTGCAAAGTGCAAGATCTACTTGTATCAGGCCTTTGCAGCAAATATCTCGTACAGATTCGTACAGCTTAGAAGCCAGAACCGAGCTATTGCTCCGCAGCCGGTGGAGTTGCTCAGTGACTCCGTGACTGTAGCTTCACGCGCTCAGAGCGATCCGATCTTTCGTCATGCTTTATGCTATCAGTCGTGGCTGCGCAGATGCTGTCGAACAATAAGAGAAATAGTGACATGAGCACAACCACGGGCAAGTTAAAGAATGTGCGGGTCGTCCGAACGCCGCTGGCTGTTCGAGAAAGGGGGCTTCGATTCTGGGGCCTTTAGGGATTGTTCCGCCGACATCGCCTGGGATGGGCGAGCCTGCCGCCTGTCGCTCTCGAATACTTTACTCTTACTCGTTCTGTCGAGTTCAGCCGCTGTGGGCTCAGTCCTGTGCTGGTTGTCTTGGCGACCCTGAACTATACGTGCTGCTGCGTAAGTCTGTAAGACGGGTAAGCATCAGGACATTCCCTGGGCAAAAATGCACTTCTCTCCGATGCCTGCGAAGGAACGTTTAGGAGTGTGTCGAGCAGCACAGAAAAGCATGTAGTTGCACACCGCCTGAGAGCAGCAGCTTCGCAAAGTGCCAGCCATCAGTTGTAAGAATAGCCTTAACCAAACAACAGCAAGTGCAGCTACTTTGCACACCGCGGGATCACACGTTTCCGGCAACTCGCTGGCTGTGGCAGGCACCGTTCTCGCCGGCGGTTCGCTATGTTGATGGGGAGGAGCTTTTCGCAGTGCCAGCAACTCGTCGGCATCGTTTCACTAATGTCTTGGCCTTGACCTTGGTGTGTTTCAAGTTTGTTGAACACGTCTGGTGCTTCTGAACGGTCGCCACAGTAAATTCAGGCTGGTTGGGCAATACTGCGGACCCGAGGAGGTCTACTTCTGTGGTGTCTTGCACGCAACGACGCAACAGTGAACTGGAACTGCGAATGTCTTACGACGTTCGAGGGCCTGTGGGGCTCCACGGCGGTTTCTCCCCGACAAAGGCTGGAGCTCAGTGAGGATGCCGATCTGCTGGAGGCCATAAAGGCCATGCAGGATGGGTGGGGCTGACTGTACTACTTGTAGTAGCCTTCAGATGCACGGTCCTGTCAACACCATGAATCCTGGGAAATGTAAATAGTGGCATTAAAGATTGCCGTTGGAAATCGTGCACGCGAAACATCAAACGCGACAGACATGGACAAGTGGAACCATACGGAACCAACACAAGATTTCACGCTCGCGGCATTATCCGAAAGCAGGGCAATGTGAAGGAAACTGATAGTGTAGTTAGCAAGGAAGGCTTGTCTGCGGCAAGGTTAGTGTTGGCAAACTTGCGCGGCCAATGCCTGGCCAACAAACTCCGGGTCCTGGCATCTATGTTGTCAACAGGGCTTTGATTTCATATTACGAACTGCCGTGTGGATGCTTTCTGATTGTCCGTTTTGTTGAAAGTTGGTTTCGTTTGTTTTCCACGGTTGGGTGTCTGATGTCTTCCCAGGCCCTGTAGATCCGAATTCCGTGTGAACAAAAATGTGCAACACACTGAGGAAACAAACACATGATTTGCACTCAGTGGAAGGCAATGAAAGTGCGCTCGAATTAGATCCCGGCCCAATAAGACAAACCGGGGTGCGAGATGGAACCAATTTCAACAAGGCAGCTCCACAACATGTGCGGGTTTGATTGCTGTCAAATCATTGCCTATGCGGTTTTGACTTTCCTAGTTTCTGGTTTGCATAGAGTTATCAGGCGGGGGGTCATCCTGTAGCAGCATCGAGTGTGATTTCTAACGGAAGATTATTGAAAACTTGCAGCATCCCACATGGATTTGGTACAAGCCACAGCTCCCAACCACAACAATTGCCTTGCCAGGCTGCAGAGAAACCTCTGCCTGCCGAAGGCTGGGAAAGTGTTCCTACGAGCTTATGTGAGCTGCACCTGCGCGTCTTTGAGAGAGAAATTTAGAAAGGTCGTCAGGGCTCTCCTGTGAGGGCAGTTGCGAGCCGGAGTTCATCAAAGGCTCGTCACAGAACAAGTGAAGCAAGACGACTGCTCATGATCATGCCTTGTGACCTTGTGCGCCAGGACCGAGTCTCTAGAGGGAGGTGCCCGGGTGCCCGCATGCCAGGCTGTGTTGGTTGACCTGACTCCAGTAGCCAGGAAGTCTCTGTCTCCAAGTGCCTCGCGACGATTGCCGATTGCCGAATGCCAAGGGACCCTGCAGGGCCACTTGTCATCACGATGCAAAGCGCAGCCGTAGCTTCCGTAGCTTCTTCGGAGGCCTTCACCCTGGCTCTGTGCCTCTCGGACGATGGAAGCGTCAGCAGGGCGGGAGCCACAGCGGCAGCTTCCCGGGCCTCGCAGGCGATGGACCCCCCTCCCCCCCCCCCCCTCCCCCTCCCCCCTCCTCCCTCTCTCTCTCTCTCTCTCTCTCTCTCTCTCTCTCTCTCTCTCTCTCCCCTCGTACAGTAGCAGCTCTCTCCTGCTCCTTTTTGCCTCCTGTCAGTTGGCTGCCCGGTCTCGGGGATCCTGCACATTGGACTCGCTGGTTTCGGTGCCGTGGTCCCGGCTGAGTTTTCTGCGGTTCCGCGGTTGGGATGTCAGAATGAGACCCCTCCGCGACATGTCGAACGTGCTGAATCGTTGTGTTCTAGTGTGTCAGGTGTGAAGATGTGATGGCACGATCCCCATTTCAAGCTCTGCTGCTAGAGCTTGTCAGACGTCGTTGCAAGATGTTTGCGCACAGCAATACTGTGAGCTTGCTGCCAACCTTTCGGTCAGAAAGGTGCTCCAGACACAAGGAGGCATTGGATGTCGCAAGAGCAGACTATTGTTACCATAACACGATGGCAAGGCAGTGGATTGGGAATGCGTGCGTCGCTGTCGACATTGTCGGAAGGCTCGCGGGAAGCAGAATCCCAGATCCCAGTATTCAGAGTATATGACATTTTCGTATGAGAACGCTAAACCGGTGGACACAAACCTGGCCATCAAATCAAACTGCACCGATTGGAAAGACACGTTCGTCATGCCAGTGGGTTGTGGTTGTGGAGGTAGTGGTCGTGGTGGCGGTTGTGGTTGTGGTTGTTGTCGTTGTTGTTGGTGCAGACAGACAGCCCGTAACTTATGTTAACTACAAGCAATTGGGAATGTTTCCAGATACCCCATAGGGGGTATTCGCAGCAGCTGCCCTTGTGATAGAATTGCGGTTTAATGTGGGTGGTTGTTGTAAAGGGGGGTGGTGAAATCAACTGACGGGGCTTCAGCTTTAGCCTTTGACCGCAGGTAGAGACAAAGTCCAGATTTCAACGGGGCCTTTGTGTCTACCTGCTGCTGAGGACAAGCACTGGAGCCCTTTCTCTTGATTTGACCCACCCGCTTTACAACAACCACCCACCTTACGCCACATTTCCATCGTGCCGATTTTTACAAGGGTTGCATGAAAGGGGTTAATTGCATTCAGCAGTGTTTTTGTGCTCTTCAAAGGGTTTTAATCTTGTAAAAGTGTGTTCATGGGTTTCAGCAAGGCTTTAAAGAGGTGTGTTAATGGCATCTAGAAGGACTCTAATTCTTTCTAAATCCCATCAGATCCCTTCTAAATCCCTTCTAAAGCCTTTAACCGTTAACTTTAAACTCACTACTCATTAGCCATTAAAGCCCTACCCTCGAAAAGCTCATTAAACACTGTCAACACCCACTGAACTCCCTTCTCAAACCCGTAGAAACCATTGTAACACCATTGAAACTCGAAACCCAGCAAAACGCTTCTGAAACCTTTCAACTACCCTCAGAACCCTGTCCACTCTAGTGGCTGTGTTCTTGTGGGGGGGGGAGGGGAGGGGCGGGGGCAGGTAACACAATATGACGGAGCTCCTGAAATTGTCTCTACTCGATGTGCAGACAAAAGGCAGCCATATGGTTTGACGGGCCGCAGTTTTTGCGTGTACCTCGTTCTTTGTTCGTCTTGTTGGTTTTGGTGTTGGTGTTGGTGGTGGTCTTGGTGGTGGTCTTGGTCCTGATATGTCTCGATGTCGGTGTTGGTGTTGGTCTTGGCGGTGGTCTTGGTCTTGATGTCGGTGTTGGTGTTGGTCTTGGTGGTGGTCTTGGTCTTGATGTCGGTGTTGGTGTTGGTGTTGTGGTTGCGGTTCCGGTTACGGTTCTGGTTCCGGTTGTGGTGGTGGTTGTCGTCGTTGTTGTTAGTGGTGGCTGTGATTGTGCTGGTGGTGGTGGTGATGGTGGCCCGGCATTTACGACGCTTGCTTCTCCATGCCGAATGTATCGGTGCCGTCGGTGGCACCTTCAAGTTCATCTCGATACTTACGGTGTTTCTTCTGCTTGCAGTGGCGAGAACATCGGTCTTTCCGCTGCTTCCTCTACTTCGACTGCCCTTTCCAGAGCATCCATGCCCCAATCGTGATAACAGCATGTACTGGTTGAGTATGTGTTTGCGAGCGCTGGGCTCCGTGCTCTGCGGGAACGGATGGGATCGCAGTGGTTTGAGCGTGGATGCTTTGCCGGAACGGTTCGGAGCAGGAGTGGACGTTCTCACGGTTTGGCTGGATGCTCTGCAGGAAGGGTAGGAATAGGAGTGGACGTTATGACGATTCGGGCGCGGATGCCCTGTGGGACGGACTGACTAACGTGAGTTTGAGCGGAGGATGTCAGTTGCCGTTCTTCGGGGTCAAGAAAGACAGTGCAGTCTGAAGCCGTCGATCTCCATGCAAAGCTGACGACCCATCATCAGTGCTTCGCGCCCTCAGCCTCGTGTGGCATTGCTCGAATTGGCTCGAATGTTAGTGTCATCGCCCTTCTCTCCCTCCACAGCGCTCGTCTCCTCAGTCACGGTGCCCCAGTCGTTTCTGAATGAGCTTTCTTTGCCTCCGTCTTTTTGCCCTCGTCTGCAGCCGCTGCCGCAGCGGCTTTCTTGCACTGCCTTCTGAGAGATGTTTGACGCCTTACGCCGCTCTATCCTGGCCCCTGGCATTTCGTTGCCGCCTCCGCGCCGCATCTCATCTGACCGCTTTGGCTTTGCCCTGTTAGTCGCAGGGGCCTTGGCCAGACTCGCCGCTCGAAACGCCCGGCACCGCCACCAGGGCCCGGGCCGCTGGGGGTCGCTGCCGTTGCGCCACGCGCAGAAGATCTGGGTGCCACCTGAGCCTGCATTCGCTCGAGCCTTCTGAGTAAGCCTTGCAAGGATGCAAGGTCAAGCTGTAGGCGTAATCTTGGGTCCAAATTTCGTTCAGGGCTGTGGGGCAATCGGTTCTCCTGGCCTGTCGCGATCAGGCATTACAAAAACATCCGTTGATGCAGTGTTCAAGGCGCGTCAAACAGGCCTATGAACGTGTTCCTGGTTCCGGCTGCATCAGACAAGGCGTGGCTGAGCTCATGGAGAACTGAGATGTGAGTTTCCTTATGTTTCACCTGCACGGCATCGAGCTTCGCGTGCCGCTAAGATCCCGCAAAGATGCGCTACTCTCACCGAAGCAGCGCTTGACTTTTGCGGGTTTTGCTGGCATTTGATGCGCAGGATGCGGCCACCAGTCCGAAGCTTTCAGGCCTCCGACCTCGGAGACGTTCTTCCCTGATGCTGCCTTTAACTTGTTTTGCCAGGTGGATTCTTTGATTTCGACGACTTGGAGGAGAAAGAAACCGAGATGGCCCAGAGAGCGCTTCGAGTGCAGAGAGCAGTTGTGAGTGCTTCAGGCTAGGAGCAATGGAGAACTTTTCAGCGTTTGCGATGCGTTTCCGCGTCGGTAGGCTAAGGTAGGGTTTCACCATTTGAAAGAAGCTCTTGCTGTAGGCCGTGGGAAGAGCTGGGTGGAAAGTGCCATCCGTGCTGTAAGCAGTTCAGCGCGCTTATTGTGAGTCTTGGAACTCCATCGCGCGCGATTGCCTCTCGAGCTGCTTGCGTTTGTTAGTTAGACACTTTGCAGAGAACTCGCGGCACGGTGGCATTGTGGGAGCCTGTTTCAGCTTCATCCTTCATTGCTCCAGCTTTCAAGAAGATGAGGCAGAGCAACGCAGAGAGCTTTTGAAGGACTCGGTGTACTGTAGGAGCTGTACTCATGTCAACAATGTATTCGACGCGGTGTCCTCGACCTGCACTGTGCGCATGAGACCTACATCAAGCCCACAAGCAGGTCGGCATGCAAGAAGGGTGGTGTAGGAACCGGCGCAGCATTGGCTACCCTCGAACAACAGGTCGGATTTACAGAGGCAGGACAAGTGTCGCCTGGTTTCTGGTGCGCTCCTCAAAGGGTCCCTTTGCAAGTCGTGCAAGGCCCATTTCTGTTCTGACGAGGCCGCCATCTCCGCGTGTGATTCGCTGTTTGCCCGATGCCCTGCGAGCAAATCTATTGCTCTTGCCGTGATGAATCTACAGCTGTCATGCAAATCGCTCTTGCAAGTGAGGCGCTCATTGGATGGCGTACTGCTGCTCAAGGTGCTGTTCCTGGCAGTAGGCCTGCTTGCTTTTGCTTGACTTCGGGGCAGACGACGCTTTGGTGTTGTGAAGAACAGGCTGCGCTGTCGTGGAGACCACCAGGACCAGGACCATAGCTAGTTGGCCCCCGACCTTTGCTTTGTTATTAGCAACAGCCGACTTTACAATGTGACCTCGCAGCCTTTTGGCTTACGTGCTGTTTGGTTTGTGGTGTTGACCTGTTGTCTCTCTGCTGGCTGTTGGGGCCTGTTGCTGATCATGTCGTTATATGTCGTTTATTCGTGTGCAGCGCCTGGTCCGTCGTCTGGGGAATGCTGCCCAAGCTGACACAGACTGGTCGGACACGGACGGCAGCGGATGATGGTGATGATGATGAGGATGGGAGTGACGATGATGATGCCGTGACATAGTCACAAACTGGACTGAGTACTGTCATTGTCATGATGCCTCGCCGCGCTTTCTCAGGGATACAGCCGTATCATATGTCAAACAACCCGGTTTCTGGGTTTTGACGGATGCCCCAAACACAGTCGAGCCCCTACCGCAGCCGACAATGGAGACATGAACTGACCATAACAGACCTTTCTAACATTCTGTCATATTCTGTCTTCTAGCTAGCAGCTAGCATGCGTCATGCTGTTGACTAGCTGGGGCTGCCCCCGCGCTGCAAAAAAGCGTGTGATGCATGCCAGTGGTATGTAGTAGAACGAGATGCATGACGTGACAAATTGTGTAGCTTCCGTTCTGAGTTGTTGTGGCACCGGGTGGAGTGGGGGTGGGGCGGGGGTGGGGTCGCACTTCAAGCTTCGGAAGATGATCTTTACATTGCGGGGTCCTGGCGGAGTGTGGCAAACGACCTGAAGACGAATCCGCATTACGAACACGCATTCGTCAAAAAAAGGCCTACTAGGCGCAGACGCATGAGCAGGCGCTCCGAATATGCATTGGGTGAAGACGCATTGGGTGGCGCATACGCATTGCGAGGACACGTCGGATAGGCGAAGACGCATTGCAAACACACATTGGATAGGCGAAGACGCAGTGCGAAGACACGTTGGATAGGCGAAGACGCGTTGCGAACACACATTGGATAGGCGAAGACGCATGGCGAACACGCACTGGGGTAGCGAAGACGGCTTCACGAGACACATTGCCAGGCTACGGCGGACCAGGTAGGCGCAGACGCACTGCGAAGCCGCTTTCACGACATAGCGGCCGCGATCAGAATGCGAGGGCAGCATCACATGCATGACTCGCATGACAGTTTACTGAGCATGGGTTCCGCAAGAGGTTTGATGTTAAGATCAGAGGCTCTCCATCAGTCCAAGGCTCCATCCTGGGAGGTCCCGTTGTATAAAGGTTCGGATTATGAGTGGAGGGCGCCCAACCGTCCATTGGTTGTGTGGCCCACAAGACCAAAACAACCCATCCCCCAAACTCCATCTCCATACGTGCTCCTTATTGAAGCCAGGAGCACGTATGGAAATGGCATGAAATTGGCTCACTCTGTATTTTCGGTAAGAAGTACCGTAGGCGTCCTCATTAAATCAGCGCCCACCAGTCCAGGGCTTAATCCCGGAGTTCAGGGTTTGTCAGATTTCTGATTTACAATTCAGTGGCGCCCCAGCAGACGAGGGCTCCATCCTCGGAGTTCACAATTATGAGAGTCTTGCTTTCTCAGGGGCGCCCTATCAGTACAAGGCTCCATCCTCTGCCTTCAAGCTTTGTAAGAGTTCTGATTTCGAAATCAAGGAAGCCCAATCAGCCAAAGGCTCCACGCTCGGACTTCAAGGCTGGCAGGGGTACCCCGTCAGTCCAAGATCTATAAGAGTTCTGAATCGAAAAATCGACTCGATTCGAAAACCACGGGCGCTCCATCAGTCCAATGTCTTATTCCCAGATGTCAAGATTCATGGCCCTTAAGAGTTCTGATTTCGATATCAGCGGAGCCCAATCAGTCAAATACTCCACCCTCGGAGTTCAAGGCGTGTAAAAGTTTTGATTCAAGAATCAGGGGTGCTGATCAGTTCAAGCCCCCACCTTCGGAGTTCAAGATGTATCAGAGTTCTGATTCAAGAATCAGGGGTACCCATCAGTCAAAGGCTTTTTCTCGAAGTTCAACATTTATGAGAGTTCTGATTTGAAAATAAGGGGCGCTCCACCAGTCCACCCACCCTCGGAGTTCAAGATCAATAAGAGCTCTGATTTAAAAATCAGGAGTGCTCCATCAGTTCAAAGCCTTCTCAGCCTTATCGTCGGAGCTCAAGATCTATAAGACAAGAGTTCTGATTTGAAAATCAAGGGCGACTTATCGCTTCAAGGCCTGTTTCACGGAGTTCAAAGTATTTAGATATCAAAGGTTCTGACTTAAAGATCAGGGCGTTCCATCAATCCAGTTCAAGATTTGTAAAGGTTCTGATTCAAGTATTAAGGGCGCCCCATCAGTCCAAGGCCCCACCCTCGGAGATCCTCGGAGATCAAGATCTGTAAGGGTTCCTTTTTGCACATCATCAAAGGCCTCATCCTCAGAGTTCGATATCAGAGTTCTGCTTTTAAAAATCAGAGGCGCCATCAGTTTATAGGCGCAATTCCAGCTCAAATCGGCACATTCCGGCGCAATCCGCACATTTTCTCGCAATCAGCGCATTCCAGCACATGTCCACGTACGGCCACTGAGCCCGCACGAAAGAGCTTACAGCATCTGCAACCACAAACCGCCACTCGGGGCACGTGCATTATGTTGAATTCAGAGAATTGGATCACGGCTTGGAGGACTCCAGGCTGTCAGAGTTGAGCCCTTGTCGGCAGGTTTTTTTTGGGGCCTGGTGCTATAAGGAGAAGGAGTTTAGGCTTCAAATCAAAGGCTTGCAGGAGTTTAGGCATTAGGTCTTCAGAGCACTTGGAGTACGCAGGTTGTTTCTCGCAGATTGAACTTAAAATACGTCTGAGCCCCGGACCGACCCTCCAAGTCTCGAATATCGAGGTCGGAATCTTTGCGAATATGAGTTAACACCATCAAGACTTTGTTTTTTCGCGTTCCATGAAAAACCATTAGTATTTTTCGACTCCTACACGAGGACACCTTCCGCGACCATGTGCAAAAACTAGAGCTTCAACACTTCAGGACTCCTGACCCTGGATTGGGAACCCAAAATCTTAAATCCTAAACTGCAAACCTGCTACCTTTCGGGGTTTAGCCATGGCTCCTCCTGGCCCCAGGATTGAGGGATGCCACACCCTGGCGTGTGTGCATGAGGATCAGGGCCGGGGCTCTGGCATCAGATCCAGCGGCCTCGGGTATTGTGGCTTCACAATCCGGCGTCACGACCCAATTCGGCGTCACCACCTAATGCGGCGTTATTCGGCATCACCAATCCGGCGTCACCGCCTCATGTGGCGTCAGCAATTCGGCGTCACCACCCAATGCAGTTTCACAGGTCGTCGTCACCACCCAATGCGGCGTCAGCAAACAATTCGGCGTCAGACAATGTGGCGTCAAAATTCGGCGTCACCCAAAGCAATGCGGCTTCAGATGGCTTCCGGAAGTCGCGATACGGCGTCAGGTCGTTTGCCACATTCCCAGTGCGGCCGCACTTTATGATCTTTCCATATTATCATATCTTTCCTGTGCGGTGCAGGTGTCCTTGATCTTCCAATGTGCAGGACGAGCTTTCGGATCGATGGAATGACAAAAGCAAGAGTATCGAGAAGGCATGTCCCCGACCGCGTCGATGCCACGGTGGATAAGCGTGCCACCTTGGGACAGGTGAGCTCTTCCAATTCTGCTGAGGACAGCGTGTGCAAGAGTGGAGTTGATATCAATAGCAGCACAAAGGTGGAGACCATAGAGTCCGTAGATCCTCAAGCGATCCTTCAACGTGTGGCCCCAAGCGGACGTTGTCAAATTTCCGCTTCGCTTGCAAACGGACCTTGGCCGTTTGCCTTCACAGGTTTGGAAGAGCACCGATTGTCGGACGTGCACCTGGCCTGCAAAGGGCAAGCCGACGCGACATCACAGGACATGGGTCGAAAACTTTTACATGGTCTGAAAGCTGGGCGCAGGTTCGAAGCGGCTGCCCAAGACGGGGAGCCCGAAGCGATGCTTTTCTCTCTGCAGGCTCACGGATTGCGTCGCCATGCATTGACGTGCACGAGCTCGCAGGGTCGCCTAAGTACCATGCTTTTTCAACGCGGCATTGCTCCACGACGTCACGCCTGCAGATTCTTGAAGTATGAAACAAGACCAAGTTCTAACTACGAGTAGGACATCGAGGAGGAGCTCGATGCGTTTCGCTGGATCACAGCCGAGGTACTGCAGTCCTTGCTCGCACCGGTAGTGTGATGCGCAGAAGTGTGAATCAGTGCCATCCGCAACCGAGTGTGTAGTGTTTTGCATGGTGTGAAGCCTCTTTGGAGATTGCAGGTGGTCGCCCGCCGGATTGAGCTTGAAGCATTGGAGCAGGCAGGGCCGAGTTATTGTTCAAGTTGTGATAAGCTTGATCAGTGGCGAAAGCCGAACTGCAGGAAAATCAGCGTTTTCGAGAGGACACATTCGCACTGGGGAGCTTGAATCGATTGGAAGAGCGTGGGGGGTCTTTGTTGACCGCTGAAATTGCTTTCCCCGCTCATGTGGCAGGAACAGGCACGTCTTCGTCAAAGCTATGAAGGCATGATGGAGGAGGCGTTCGTTGTTTGTGACATGTGCCGTTAACAAACGACTGCGCAGCAGCTGGTCGAGGCAGAGTTGGACATGCTCGTCTCTTGGATTCCTTTGTGTGTCCAGTTTTGTCTCACGTGTTGCTGCTTTCTTTTTCGCCGTAGCGAACTGTTCAAGTCGAGGCGAGAAGATGGCACAGCAAGTTGAGTCTGGCTCTGCAAAGTCAGTTCGATGCTGGAAAAAGCTATGTATTCCCTCAACCGTAGACTCGAAGAAGCTGTCTGACTTTGGAAGCACAAGACTGTACGATTCTGGATCTACGGCAGCCAAGACTGAACACCTTGCCCAAAAAGGCCAGCTGTCGCTCCGTTTGCTTCGCTTGCCTGGCAGCAACGTGTTGCACAAGTAACAGTGTGTGCGAGACTCACGAATGAATTTCTCCCAGGCTCCCAGGTCTGTCCGGACAAGCCAAATCAGCAAAAGTGCAACAACATTCCGTCGTTGGCCCCTGGTATCCCCTGGTGCCCCAAGCCGGTTCGAGCGCACGCAAGGTAGTACTTCGACAGCACACACACCATGCTAAATCTAGAATCTAGTTATGGACGACAGTCGGCTGCCTCCGAGCATGAGCTATGCCGTCAACTCACCCGAGCGGCTGACGAGCTGACAGTCTGCTGACTGCACATGTTGTGGTCATCCAATCCCAATGGTCCTTTGCATCCCATGCCCAGCAGTGGATTGGGCTCATCCCGCTTGGCCTGTACTTGAGTCACTGCTGCGTTTTGGATGTTTCGGAAGTGTGCAGCGAGGTTGTCAACCGAGTTTAGCCGTCGACCGCAGCAGGATTCGCCAATGACCACATCCGCAATCAAAACAACAGATTGCTGTTGATTTCGAGTTGCTGCATGCGCTGTCTATTTTGCATCAGTGCATGGCAAAGTATGGCGCAGAACAACCACGATTGCCATCTCAGCGTTGCCCGTCCTGACCATCTCGATGACGGCCTCCTGGGCACAACAGGCGCAGCAGCAACCAGGAACAAGAATGAATAAGAAACAGACGAACTAGCCGTAAGTTCTGAAAGAGGGATGTCTTACGACTTGCGAGCACCGGACAGCGTTTTGTTGCGTGGCATGTGCATGTACTTGCCATCGTGTTGTGAGGACTCTGATGGCAATACGGCTCTCCACTATGCTGCGTTGTTCAGGCAGGCCTGTTGGTCCCTTTGCCGTAGCACTTGCTATAGCACGCAGGCAGTCACGCACGTGGCACGAGGGCGCACAGGCATGCATGCAGGTAGGCAAACAAACGTCAACGAGGAAACGATTGAAACCCCAAACGTAAGACCAAAGGCTACTGCCCTGGCATCCGGTCTCCTGCCTCAGCATCTGCCCGTCAAAGCTTGGCGGCTCCACTGGAAAAGTGTAAGCCGTATATTCCAAACCTTACCGTAAACCAAAGGCCCCCAAACAAGACCAAAACCCGGTGCTTCCCCAACATTTGTACGTCTGCAGACCTTATAAACCCTAGGAAACGAAAACCTTCCGGCTTAAACCATGAGCCCTAAACAGTGCCGATGCACTTCAAGAGGTTTGCTCCATGTACGGGCCTTCTGTCAAAATGACATAGTTTTTGTAGGAAAAAGAGCGTCGCCAGGAAGGCGATACATAGTACAGAACCGCCCCGATAAAACACGGGGAACTACTCTGGCTACCGCCGTAGTGCAGCAAGCCAGACATGATCCGGATGTTCTGATATCGATACCTGATCGTAATCATATGCATTTAATGCATTGAATGCAGATTCTAGGTCGGACATGTTGACCGAAGGCTGGACTCGTCGCTCAACCCTTTACTGGAAAGAAGGGCGCGACCAGATGTTGGCAACAGTTCAGGAGAATGCGCAGTGCCCTTCGGTAGACCTGCTTCGCCAAGGATCGTAGCTGACAGATTGAGGTACATTGGGCTGCCAAGTCTTCCAATGTCATAGCTTTGGATGCGATGACGAGGGCCAGCCGAGCTTTTCTCTCGATGGTGCGCCCTGCAGCCCTGCATTTGAGAATTCGCTGAGCTCTGGCACACTTGGGGCCCGGCCGAGAATTCTGCCTGTTCCATGCGCAGCGCGACTGCGATGGCTTCACGGTCTTCGTTGTGTCCGCAGAGATGGACAACTGTCCGGTGATGGAGCTAAACCGACATGTTGGCAAACCATATCTTCAGCCGCGCGGCTCGGAACTGTGCAGGAGGACGTACCTCAAAGGCGTCAGCTTGGAAGAACAGGTTGGCGGTCGGGGTGGTCAGGGTCAGTCCGTACAGGATAGCTTGGTTCATCATGTACCTTGGTCAGGATGACTACGGCAGAACTGCCTTGCAGTGGGCATGCTACGAGGGCAACAAGAAGACGACCGCATGTCTTAAAGCACACCCATCTATGAAATCGATGGCACCCTAGATGAGGACGTGCCCGGTCAGGTTGTAGAAGAGCCGAGCCGAGTGACGTTGCTGGCAGCAGTAGCATGTTTGTGGCATCGGAAGCTTTCTTTGGAGGGTTCATACTTCGGGTTGCGACTGGGGTTTCTGTGCACCTCTTCCGGGGAGGCAAGAATCAAGGCAACAAGGCTGCTGCAGCTACTGCAGCTTGCTGGAAGGCATATCTGTTGAGTAGATTCTGACATGAACTTTCTTCCAGTTGCGGATGCCTCAGTCGACTATTGTCATGGTGTTTTAGTATACTTTCATGCATCACTGTTGTGGACCCTCGTGAAAGCCACTGCCGTCCAAAACTTGCCATTATTATTGAATCCCGAGCATCTAGACTCAGAACTTAGACATTCAGCTCTGGACAGTTGACTATGGGTTTTGCTATGACGTGTCTGAGCATCTTTGACAGGATTTTCCAGTGGTTGCTCTCGCGATCTGCCAGCATTGTTCACCGAGACCGAGAGGTGCTTTAGCTTGTCCTGCCGTCCCGAAACCTTTTTTATGCCTGAGCTGAAGCGCTAAGCCGCCACGGGGCCAGGGCATGGCTGCACTTCGCTGGGCTGCGCTGAAAGGTCACGTGCAGGCACGCAGGTCCAACACGGGGAAGTTGTGAATAACATGTTTTCTGAGCAAGTGCTGCTTTGCTTTGGATGTTGGTGCCAAATGCATTCCTCGTTCCGGCGACGGCTTCTTTCAAGTGATGAACCGACAAAAGCAGCAAGGTGCAAGCTTGTTCCCTATCCGAAGAACAGGGGCAAGGTTTATGACTGTCTCAAAACGCGCCCGAAAATTTCGTACGTAGCCAAACCTGGGTGGGCAGTGTGCGGTTTGGTCGCGGAGCCTAAGCCTCCTAGACATTAGAGCCAAGCCACCCTTTGTGGGATAACATGAAGTATGATGTCGAAGAATGGGAGACATGAATGACATGCCAAATGCTTGAAAATACTGGGGACTCAGGATCAAGGCGGCCAGACGAATAGTCAATGTCCTGATCAAGAATCTTGTCACGTGTGGCGATACAGGTCGTGGATGTACACATGCTTGTGGAGACCCTTGCGATTCCAGAAATCACGAAAGCCAGCTCTGTGGAGCTCGCGGGAGTTGTCGTGCATCTTATAAAGTCCTTTCACATACCGTTGGCGGCAAGGGGGTAAGGAGGGGCCCGCCGGGGCCCAACCATATATAGTATCCCCCGAGTTATCTACCAGTTTTGGTGTAAATCCTGTGTATTCTGCCCCTGATCCAAACCCGCCCTCCTCCTTTACCGAGTTAAAGATTACTCTGCACGTGTGAACTCTGAGCCCTGGTATGTGTGCAGAACTACAACAGTACAACAGATGCTACAGAACATGCTTGCGCACGTGTTTCGGACCATGAGAGCAGTCCCGACGCACCCCGAGTGTTGCAGTTCAATCCACCCGTGAGGCCCATTGAATTCAATAGGGCTGTCGGATTGAAGATTGAAGATCTCACAGAAAGCTTTCCCAAGGCATCTTCAATCTTCAATCTGACAGCCCTATAGAACTCAATGCGTCTATTGAATTCGACAGGCCACACGGGTAGGAGATGCGCAATATGTGGTCACATGCGAGAGAAGCCGACAAACCCTAGTGCAACTTCTACACACGGTGCATCGATCTACATCGTTCGTGCATAAATTCTTGGTGGGCAGCTTTTTGTTGGAGTATGGTAATATCATAGTAGTATCTGTCCGGCTTCGGGAAATACAAGGTTTCTGTGCCTAACACACATATACATAGTTATTTCGCAACCATGTAGCAATAACAGCAGCAACGACAGCATCAAGACTGCAATAACATTGCATAATTGGCTGCATGCACACAAGCATAACCTTTTGTTGCATATGAGTCAGATGCAAATGGATATCAAGCATTACGTATACAGTGTCGCCACTTACACAGACCAAGACTGACGTGATGATCTTTGTACCCAGATGTATATACATAGGCACATTCCAGATAGCATTGAATATACCCGTGGAGGCTTAAAACCTTATAAAGAGAGTATCTACAACCAAATGCTTCCGCAAATCTACCTCTGTAATGTTAGTATTGATGTGTTTGCATAGTGTCCGCAAGACGTTTTGTGTGCTTGTCGCGCGTGAGACTTGGTGATGTACACAATCATGATGTAGCAGGAAGGAGCTCGAGAGACAAAAAACACAAAGACAAGGAGCTGCATATATGCAGATGTACTATGGAGAAGCGCAACTTCAGTGCAAATGTATATACGAATGGACCTTTAGTGTTTAGGAGCTTCAGAAGACCAGGGGCCACAATATAGAAGCCCCAAGTAGTAGGATCCTGATCATAAGGACCCGTTAAAAAGCTTCCAATCAGTTCTCTGAAGGCATCTTGCCATTAAGAAGGTGCGCCGACCGTGAGGATCCTTTCGCTCGAATTCTTGGTAAAGGTCACTGTCAGTTCTTACCTGAGAACATTGGTAGTTGCGGGGTGTAGCATATATGGTACCCCCCCTCAAAGACCAAGATTCCTTTGTAACGCGGAGGGGATTGGGATTGGTACCATGCCCCCCAAAGTCCCCAAAGACCATAGACTAGGACTGGTTGGACGTGTTTTTCGTGCTCTTCGTAGGCACGATGACGGCTTCCTCAACCCACGTAGCTGTGATCACGGAGGTTTGCTGGTGGCCAGAACCACGGCCCACATGATTGTGAACTTGACTACATACGAAGCCACTGCCTGGGGGTTCCAATGCGACTCTCGAGCTAGGGCCGCTAGGGGCTACGGCTGCATGATACAAAGGTCTTGGTCAGACCCAGCCACGTACAACGACGCTTTCCAAACTTCCGCCACCTACATTTCCCAGGGTCTCTCCTTTTGCGATCATCTCTGTTTCTATTGATTATTGGATGGTCTTGCATGCTTTCGGGATTTCTTGACCAAGTTGGCGTGCCTGCCAGGACTCGAGGGCGTTGGTCGTTCTTTCAAGGCTCCTCATGCGCATCTGAAGAAGTGATCTGGTCAGCAGACCTCTGCACATGTCATCACATGTCAGCCTCGCAGAGCAGTTTACCGGTGCCCGGCTCCTGCATTCCCTGCATGCGCTGATTTGGCTCCAACACATCGCAGCAGAATTCATGTGCGGCCTGGGTGCAACTTTTGAGTGCGTGCTGCGCATCCCGGCTGCAGGTGGACAAACTCCACCGGGGCTCTCAGGATGCCACACTGAGCTGAGTGACTGAGGTCGAATCAATGAACTGTGGCGACGCGAACGCTGACGTTCATGAAGATGTGGATTCCGCCTTTCGTCTGCCAAGGCCCGGACTGTATGCTTGCTGCAGCCTAGTCGGCAGGACTCAAACCAGCCCTCGGGGCAGCTTTTAGACTTGTGACGGATTCTGGACGAGGATGGTACGTCTTGGTTTTTCCAGTTCTTTCGCAACGCCATTGCCTGGGTGTAATCTCGCAGGTCCAAGCTGCGACCGGCACCTCTGGTAACAGATTTTCCAAAGGCCTTTCTGGGGATCGGCAGAGGGCCGCATTGAGCATTTGCAACTTGGAGGCAGAATTTGACATATCTACGCCCCGAAACACCGGCGCCAAGTCTGAGGTAGGGTGCAAGAGAATAAAGACTACAGACGCAACTATGCGGCGGGTTCTTTCCTGAAGGCATCAAAGCACTTCATTGGCACGCCCACTGTCGACGGCTCAGTATCAACGTCTTGACGCTGAACGGTTCGATGCCGCTTTAGCCCTGTCTTCGGAACTCCGGAATCACTTAACCTGTCTGATGCCTGTTTGGCCCTTCCTCGGATGGCAGCTGGCGTTCTTGGGCCAGCCAGAGCGATCAGGGCGTTTGCCGCGTGAGAGCAATGTCCCTGGGCATGAAATCCATTCTTATGCGTTGCTGGGCAGCGAAGGCATAGCAAGTTCTTCTCTGCTGGGCGTGGCTTTGCTGGGGCAGCGAAACTGTGAAATATCAAAAGTCCATGCTTTTCAGTGTTTGTCTGTTGGAGGTGGCTTGGTTGGGACCAGGCCAGCATATCCAGCATGCATGGTGAGGGTGTCGGGGGAAGCGAGGGCAGTCAAGAGGCTGGCTCATCTGTGCTGGGGTTGGCTTAGTAGCTGAGCCCTGAGACTCGCTTAGGCCACGGGCATTCTCAATGCTTTCCTAGATTGCGATCTCGATGCAGGTCAGGCTCATTGCCGCACCGTTTCGGTTGTCAATTGTCAGATGCTTTGCTGCCAGGAGACGATTTTGGACCTCCTCTAGAACCTGACTACGATGCCATCAATGACTGCTTGCAAGGTGCGCCGGCAATTGCTATGGCTTCGCTGGTGCCTTGATAATGCTTTGCGTGGGGAGTCTTTGTGAAAGCTAGTATGGTGCCGCTGGGTCTTGACTCTTTGGATCGGCGGCAACCTTGCTGCCTTGTAGAGCTGGCGACGTCTGGAGCTTCGCAGCACGTCTGCGATTGTTGGCGGAGCTCAAGACACCATGAGGAAAACCATTTGCACGATGCCTTCCGCGATCTTCCGCCCGAAGGCCTCTTGTGTATCACACGGTAGTCATCGCTGACCGTATGGGGCCTGGAGCTCGAGGCAGCCAGGATGATCCAAAGCGCTGACGTTCCTACCCGTGCAATCAGGGTCCCACTGCTGCTGCTCTGCCCTGCACCCCCCCTTGGCGGCGCGCATTGCAACGGGTGGCTCCGATGCTCTCCGATTTGCCCCGGCCCGGCCGGGCCCCTGCTTTGGCGACCGTGAGGCTGTTGCCGCTCTCGGGAACTCGTCGGCACGTTTTGTCGAACCTTCGGCTACAGTAGTTCACCGGATGCGCATGTGGAACGCACCGTGCCATTGCCAGATTCGCTCCTTCGACATTAAAGCATGAGTTCGATTCTAGGACTTCCTGCTGTAGTTAGCCGTTGTGCCGCAGCTTCTCGCCTGCTTCCCGGCCCGCTTTCTGCCTGTCTGGCTTGCCTCCTGCCCCAGAAACTACGTAATCAGAGACTGTATGCCCACTTTCCAATTCAAGGACGGCACGGTGGAGACAATGACTTAGCCGACGACAAATATTGTGGTCGTTAGTCCCTGCGTGATATCTTTAGATATCTTTAGCCTCTCCGTTAGCGCGGCCTTCTCCCCGCTTACGGTCATCCGAAAGGTGGCCTGCCAACATTGATGCAAATTGAAGCAGGACCAGCTCAGACTGGCTGTGCTCCTCCACATCTCGATGTCCCGACTTCTTTGGCAAGCGCTACGGCTCCTTTGGACTTCGGAGGCAGCTGCCAAACAGCAACAGAGAGTTCATAACAGCAACAAAGAATTACAGGAAAAGGCGTCTGGTGGTGCAAAGGCTATAGTGCCGTGCCGCATTGTGCAGGAACGACCTCAGATAGTCTCCCAGACGGCTTTAGCCGGGCTTCCGTGGCCTCTGAGCACTTGTAAAGGCCTTTTGGAGGCCTCCGCAGGCTTCTGGAGTTCTAGGATGGTTTCTGGAATATGTCCTCGGCGCCGAAATTTCGTAAACTCAGGTTTGATTCGCTTATATTCGCTTCAGTCCGAAAGCAGCAACATGCAACAAGCTTTTCGCCGCGCCGCGGTTTTAATCCGCCTGCGGTGCCTGGGCACGTCAGATGTACGGCTACTTGAGGACATTAAAATCGATTTGAAGTCACGCCGCCCGCTGAACGAGCCCGCCCTTCGAGCGGGCATGGAGTTCGATTTTAAGCATTGTAATTGAATATTGAAATCAACATCCAGACCGATCCACTGGACGTAAAAAAGGCTGGTTGACATGGACTGTGACTATATCTCCCCCATGACTTTTGCTTTACCCCACGCATTTCGGCGCAGTGCGAGGCAAGCACCTGAGACGCGCAGACTCAGATGGGTTTGGACCTCGGAGCCGTGAGCCGCCGCAGCCAAGCGCGGTCGCGGGCCGCATCTCCTCCTCCGCATCTCCTCCGCCTGCAGGTCCTCGCCTTCGCACAGTAGCGCAAGCACCGTGAGCACCAGGCCCAATGCCGCAACAGAAGCAGATTTTCGGCAGACTTTGGGCTGCTTGGTGTAGCAGGTTTGATCCGAATGCTGGCATCGATGGGAAATCACCAGGCGCTGGGCGAGCCTGTCTTGGACATGTCGTGGAGTCGTGCATCTCTTCCGTGAACTTGCGCGCCAGGTGTTGGCGAAGAAGAGGCCCTCGGTCCTGTTTGTTTTCTTCGTGGGCACTGTCGACAATGAAATGCGGGAGGAATACGAGGACGACTTTGAGCCAGAATCTGAAGGGGAAGAGGAAGAGGCTTAACCGGATTTAGCAGGGGTGGGCAGTGCGGTCGGGTCGCAGCAGATCCTTAGACATACTGTGATGGGATCCCAAGCATTCTTGACCAAAAAATGGCAAATGGAGCTCTTTGACAGAATTCATAGCATCTGATCTGCGATTTCACATGCTAGGCTTACCTCAAGCACAAAGCCTCCACGATGGGCGTTAATCTGCAGCCTGCTGCAGCTGTACAGATGCCCCACCCATCGCGGAGATATCCATCTGTTCTAGCTCTCTTTGTTGCCTCCAAAGAGAAACCGGAGGCAATGTTCTGTGTTTGTTTCACATAATCTCGTGAGTCGAAAGGTAGGCTGCAAATGCTATGGATTGTGGATGGCACAAGCACGTTGTATCACGTTGTGTTTGTCTTCAGCGACACCTTCATAAACTGCATGGCCGTGCCCTGCCCCTCTTATGTGTGTGTGTGTGCGCTTGTCCTTTGCAGCAGAATCGGGACCCTGTTTGATTTTCCAAACCTCGAAAGAGGCAGTTTCACTGTAGGCCTGCGGCGATCTGGCGTTCAGAGCTTAGTCCTCAGGTGCATGGAATCGTCGGAAAACCGTCCGCGGCTGCCATGCGGTGCCGTGCCTGCTTCACGAGCGCGAGAGAGCGCGAGCAAATGAGGGGCACAAAGTTTGAAGTGTGCGACCAGTTAGAGACAGAGAGCACCCCTTGAAGCAAAGCACGCATCCCACGCCTTTTTTGTCGGGGACGTTTCCAACATGTCTGCTAGTGGCGAGTCGTGTAGAATCTAACAGTATGTGTACATGTGTGAATGTTTCTGCTTGGACACGGTCTGCCGTTTGCAGGTTGTTCACTCAGATCTGCGTGCGACCCAGCGAGTCGTCGCCGTCTGTTCTGGAGACGCCGATGCAGGTCCTCGGAATCCTCAGGCCTTGACCAACTCCGTTAGTTTCTGGACATTGGACACCCGCGGTGATGCCAGTGTCTTAGACGGTGCAGATTGAAACAATTCCACCGAACGGGACAGGCCGCTACTTTCTTGGAAGAGCTCAAGTCAGCTTCGTCACTCCCGGACAGGTGTCCGAAGTGGGTCACGTCTCTGCAATGATGTAAGTATATGAAGTGCCAGAGACTGCAAGATTATTGTTATCGCTGCAACGACTCTGGGATTTCGGTCTACTGCCTTCCACAGGGACCATCATTTCGAACTCCATTGCAACAGGTTTCGGGGAGCAAGTTGGAACAAGGCTCTCGCCTCAGATGGAAACAGTGGCACGACTCCGAAGTGGCATGGACCTTTCCCTGTCCAGACATTTAGTTCAGATGTACGTGATGGGAGGACAGGTACACTAGATCTTTGTAACTTGTAACTGCATGCACAAATGAGGGCACGGTCCAGCAATTCTGGCGAAGGGTCTTGGTTGAGGCATTTTCTGGTACATCGTGGTACTACCGAGCAACCAGGTAGGTCAGAATATCGAAGCGACTACATGAGCGTGATTGGGCATTGTGCTCCTTCGGGGCTCGTGATATCTTGTGCCCTTGGGCTTGCGCCTCTTCGCACGTCTCCGAGGCAAGCCTGCTCGCTTGCGCGAAAAGCCCTGAGCTTTGGCGGTGATTGCATTACAGAGTCTATTCGAAATGCGAGACATCAGATTGCGCACGGAAAGGTGTTAAGCCTAGCTCCATTTCCTGAGAACCTTGTTTCCGGTCCTGGCTTCGATATGCCAACAATCGGCACAGCGGCTTCTCTGAACGAAACCATTACAGAATTTGCGAGTCCACGTAGGTTCAAGACACTGTATGGGGTTGTCACGCGACACGCTTGCCGAGGCATGCATGCCGATGCCATCTCTGGCTTGCGTCATCAGGGCAGTGCTGGGGGGGAGCGCCATGGAGTCCTCTGTGAGACAACCCGCCGATCCGCGCTGAGTCGCGCAGGCACCGATAGTTTGAGTGCTGTTGCAATGGAATCCTACATAATTATCTGAGGGTTTTTTGTTTTTTTCCGAGATTTTAAAAAAGTTTTGTTGTTGTTGTTGTTGTTGTGCTTTTTGGTTTCCTCTGCTTTTCTGCTTTCCTCTGCTTTTGTGCTTCTTGCTTTTATGTTTTTTCCGCTTCTCTTACGTCTCTGCTTTCTGCTTTTCTGCTTCTCTGCTGCTGCTCTGATTGTCTCTTTTTTTAAGTTTATGCTTGCAGCTCTTTCGTGCTTTAGTTGATTTGTTGTGTGTTTTTGTGTATGTTTGTTTTTTGTGCTTTTGCTTTCTTCTGCTTTTGCTTTCCTCTGCTATTTTGCTTCTCTACGTTTCTGCGTCTCTGCTTTTCCGCTTCTCTTGCTTCTCTGCTTCTCTGATTGTCTGCTTCGCTTCTCTCTTTTTAAGTTTTCGCTTGCTGCTCTTCCCTGCTTTGATTGATGTTTTTTCGTGTTGATTGCTTTCCTCTGCCTTTGCTTTCCTTTGCTTTTCTGCTTGTGTGCTTCTCTGCTTCTCCGCTGCTCTTCTTCAATGCTTTGCTTTTGCACTACTACTATTGCCATTATTATTTCTGTTTCTAAAAGAATAAAATCATCTTCTCCAACACGCAAAGGAAATCCCTTGCGAAATCGCTTCGAAGCCCTCTGGAAGGGGGGCCCCTCGTTGCAAATGGGGGTGTCTGCGCCCCCCCAACCTCCCCCCCCTCTTAAGCCGTGAATCTTCTGCAACACACAAGAAGGAGAAAGCCTCACGGGGGTAAAAGCGAAGAAAATAGAATAATCATGAATGAAACGTCTTCACCTACAGACAAGAAGGCGAAAGCCAGACGTATTCGCCGGGGAGTCAAAAAAGCAAGAGCACAAGGTAAAATGAAAGTGAGCCAAACAAGCAAAAACGTCTTCTCCGACACACAAGTTTGAGAAGCCACACGAAAGCGCTTCAGGGGGTAAAGGCGAAGAAAACAAAGTTATTTTTGGAAGGTTTGCAAGGGAGGGCCCCCCACCGCTTTTTCTGATCTGCAAACGTTGCTGCTTTCTCCCGCTTTTCTTAACTGCAAACCCTGCTGCTTTCTTTAAGCTCTACTACAACTGGGGTAGTAGCAAAAGCAGCACTAACAACCAGCGACAAAAGACAGTGACACAACAGCAACAGCAGCAGCAACAACAACAACAACGACGACAACGACACTAGTAACAATACCAACGACAAGAACAAACATAATAAGAACAGTAATAACAATAACAACAACAACAGCAGCAACAGCAATAAGAATAACGACAACAGCAACAATAACAACAACCACAACGATAACACGAGCGACAACAGCAGCAACAGCGCTATTCGTACTAAAAATAATAACAAAAACAGATGAATGATACAATAACAATACAATGCTACATATTCATTAACAATAATAGTAAGGCTAACAACAACCACAAGAAGAATAATAGCAAGAACAATAGCAGCAACAACAACACAAGCAATTTTGTGTTGGACGCTGAGCGAGCGGGCTCTGCTCATAGCGGGCGAGTTTTATAGGCCCTGGCACCAGACTGTACAAAAGACGAGCATTTGGAGGACTTACTGAAAGCCAATCGCATTTGAGAATCAGAAAGACCATAGATTAAAAAGCAACATCGAAAATAGAGCAGCGATCAACCGCACTTAGATGCACCCCAACAATTGTTGGTGTGGATTGGTGATTAGCGGTACCTGAACAAAGCCGTACAAAGCCAAGATGGATCCCGAAGTGCACGCCAAAGATAAGCAACCGGAATCAGCGTACGCCATGCTAGTCTGAGCAGAGCACTTCTTATCTAACCGCATCCGACTCTTCGCTGCTTTGGCCGACTCCCTGGTCCCCGGACTCTCTCTCTCCCTCTCCCTCTCCCTCCCCCTCTCTGTCTCTCTCTCTCTCTCTCTCTCTCTCTCTCTCGCTCGCTCCGTCGCACGGAAATTACAAAACCAGTCTTTAAGACCCTGCATCGAGCTGCAACTTGACAAGGCCGCCTGTCTCCAGAGCAATGGTTGCCAGCTGAGGGAAGCCCCGAACATGCTGTGTTGTTTCAAGTATGCCGCCGTTTGCATCCGAGTCTGCCGCGGCTGAACTGGAGCACTTCATTGGTTACGGTGGCAAACATCTTGGCACTGTGTGCTACCATCCCTCAGAGGTCATGCCCCAAGTCTCCATACTCTCAGAAACAGGCATCAAGTGACAAACGGTTTGTCCTCTTCTCTGCTATTCAGGCGGAGACGCTGATTTATGCGGCAGCTTCAGCCATCATTGTCGAGAACGTGAACGCCCTGCCCCTGATCACTATGCCGTGACGACATAGAATGACATAGATTCACTATGTTAGGTTTCTCTCTCGTCATTCTTGCACGAGGACCCGCACAAGCAAGAGTTCCTGAGGGGGCACGATGCAGAGGCGCTTTCGCTCGAGCTGCAATTCGCATGGGCTTGCATCCGTCATGGACAGCCAGCGCAAGTCCAAGCGGACGCACCCGTTCAGCATCACTGGTGGCTCATTTACAAACGGCATGGCTGATGAATTTGGACATGTTTGGACGGCCTAGAAAGCACCCTTGTCTAGAGTCTCAGGTTTCTGAAAGCTTGGACCGTGCTTGCAAAGCCAGATACGGGTAGATGGGTAGAGGCCGACACGAGCCATTCAAGCGTCCTGGGACGTATGATGTGAAGGTTTCAGCTCTCGACGTTTCCCTGAATGGCAAGCTTCTGGCGAGTGGCCAGTCCAAGCCTCGGAGAGCAAAACGACAGAATAACTTTCAAGAGCCTAGGCCTAGACCGCTCAGCAGCACGCTTTACATGAAGTCCGTGGCTGCGCTGCTGTCTCTACTCGCTCTTGCTCTGGATCTGTTGACGATGTACAACTTTTGCTGATCAAGCCGTCCTTGAGGCGTTCCTATCCCTTGTGTTCTCCCCTTTTGTCGTCTCATTTGCTGCACTGGGAGCCCGTCTGAAGCCTCAGTGGCCTTGATCGGATCTGTGTGGAGAGATGCAGCTCCTGAGCGTCCAAGCTGCTTGAGCACAAGGACAAAAAATGATGAGGAAGCTTCCTTCCAAGCCGGAGCACACTTCTGAATGTGCGGAGATAACCAGACCGCAAAGCACTATGCTGTTGCATCTCGAATCCGAAATTGTGTGGGGTTCCGTGTTCTCGAACCCCTGCCGGCATTAAAAAATGTGCAGCCCAGATATCAAAACCTGGAGCCACCTGACCTGTCTCAGGCTCGGTTCGCCAAGCAGGAAGGGAGCAGTTGCGCCACATTCTCAGCCTCTGCCTGCTCATGCTTGTCAATATTTGTGCGTCTGGGCACGAAGTGGAGCATCGCGAGGCCCGTGGTAGTTTGGGATTTTGACAACCGGAGTCGGTACATCGACTTCCATGGTCGCGGGCCAAGTTTTCTACCAACGAGAAATACAACTGTAGTCTTGCGAGCTATCGCCAGCCGAGGTCTAGCACACTCAGTCCTTTGCGCTCGTGGCTTAGACTTGGGGCATTTGGGGCAACTGGCAGACTGCGGCAGACCCGATCGTATGGACAAGGTCAAGTTTTCGCCGGATGGACGCTTCCTCGTTGCAGCCGGTGCCAACCAGATGCATCTTGGCTCGCAGTGTTCGTGTAGGGATTCTGTGCAACGGTTCCGTGTTCAGGCTGTACGTCTGGGATGCCAGGAACTCGGGCCTTTCCAGAATTCCTATGTGTGCTGAGAGCGCATAGCAGAGATTAGTTTCGCGGCAGGTGTCAACCGGTGAGGTTGTCTACAATCGTAGGCTGGCCCGGGTCTTGTTTCCTTGCACTCTCAAAACAATGCATTCGTTCGCAGGACAGAAAGCCCATGCTTCCTTGGTGTTTGGGGTCCCATTCTGGAAACTGGGTGGTGGCCTGATATCGCAGCAGTAGCATGCCACACGAGGCAGGTTATGGTGAGAATGCAAGTGTTCTCGCACCACTTCGTCGCAGAATGCAGACGCTGATTCCAGGAATGCAAGCATCGCATCTTTTCATCCAGAGTGTCTCGGGGCTCGGGACCCTTTGTTTGTACCATCAGATTTTTCGGTCAGTTTCTGTAAACCGCAGCTGGGGCCCTCGACCACGCAGGCTCGCGGAAGGCGAGTTTTTTGACACTCTGTTTCGTGTCTGTTGGGCTGCCGAAGCCACCCAATGAAATGACTCTACAGTATCAGGGGGGCTGGCACTTGTTCGCAGCGATTGCTACTGTGCTGTTCTTTCGTTTTTGCTCCAGACCATGCGATTTCCACCACCTCTGCACTAGCAGCAGTGCTGGCAGGGGGTGGGTGGGGGGGTGGTGGGGTGGGTGGGTGGTGTCTATGTTTGGGGGGGGGGGTGGGGGTGGCAAGTCTTCTGAGACAGGTGGCGGGGGGGGGGGGGGGGGGTGGGTGGTGGCAGCAAACGCACGCCTGCCAAAACACACACAAATGCAGAAGTCTCTTCCCCAAGATATTCTGCAAGCCACGCACTGCCTCGCATTGAAGCTTCGTCGACACACGAACATACTTTGTGACTGAGGACGGGCATACTGAATGCTTCCTCCATGTCGTTTGTGCATCCCCACAATTCCCCACACGATCCCTGACCGCTGGTGGGCGTTGACTCTCCCATTCGCCGCCCAATTGAAATCTCATTATCAATTAGCTGCGCCAATAACCACAAGATACCACAGGGTTGATCAGGGATGCAGCAACTTTGCATTCCTGTTGAGTGCATCGCCGAGGCGATATCCGTCCTATCAGTCCGTGACCAAGTTGCCGGGGGAGATCCGTGTCACTGTAAGGCGCTAGAAGCGTGGCAAGTTTGGCTGAAGTTCAACTTTCCCAGGCTTTGCACCACCTATGACAGCCAAGTTCTGTACCATCTCATGAGCTTCGACATGCGGCCCTGAAGCTGAGACCAATGCAGTGCAAGTCGTGCCAGACGGGAGACAGCTTTCAGACTGGCCGAAGGTCGATGTCATATTCGCTTGGCAGTGATGCCATGCAGCCAGATACCAAGACATACCATGACAATCTTGGCTTCGTCGCCTCGTCCCCTGGAAGCCACGAAACTCTGAGATTTCCTCCCTCTGGCCTGCAGCGGAAGCACATCTGCGGCCTGGTGGTCGCAGATTTCCTGATAACAGGCATCGTCAACGCAGCATGAGCGTCCATGCATATTCTTCGCACCTGTTCGCGCATTGGGGTGGAGCAGGTACTTCTGCTGGAGATATGTGTGTGTTCAGCTTGAAGACGAAGGACTGCCCAGAAGCCGGAGATTGTATCTACCTATTGACAGCCTCGGAGGTTTTCCGCACGGCCCTCCCCATTTGCAACAACGGCGGAGCACTCAGACTATTGCTGATCGTCTGCGTCACGGATGCATGCCGCCCACTCTGTTGAGGTGTTACAGGGATAGCGCAGATCCTCGGCAGCGTGATTTCTGCCAGATTCAAGTCTTCAACTTTGGATGCCTCAGGTATGGAGACTTCCTCTTCGTGGCACGAGACTAAGAGAGCTTAAGCCGCTTGTGAAGCTCAGCGTGAGGAGAACTCAGAGTCCAGGCTGGCGGCGACGGGAGGGTCAAAGCCGTTCGTGGCTTTGACACGCATTGGGACGTCCTGGACTTAAGCCAAAACAGCGTGTGGCTACTTGGGGGCTTCGGCACCATGTCTGACGGTCTCGGCAGGTCCTCGCAGAGAATGTTCTAGAAGCTGGAGTGACGGTCATGCCCTGGTTTTTTTCGCAGAGCAGCAGTTATCTTCTTCTCAAGCTTGCTGCGTATCTCCTCAGGCACTCACGCCTTCGGCCGATGGTGCAGAACTAATTGCTGGTACAAGGTCCATGCTGATGCCGCTGGCGAAGCTCTGTCCAGGCATGCAGTGAACCCACGATGCAGGAATGGCAAGATGTGGAGACTTTTGTCCTCGGATCTAACAGCCACCTTGCAAAGTGCCTCGCACACTGGCGAGGCTTGCTGCACTGCATTCTAAAGATGTTTTGCTACAAGTGACTCATCCACAGAGCAGGCTTGCATGACGCACACATTGTTTTGGATTCCTCCCTTGATTGCTTTGGCATTTGATGAAGTTGCTGCCGCTTGCAACTGCATTCGCTGTTACATGTAAGTTACGGATGCAGACGCACAGTGTAACTGGTCCTTCCAAAATTTAACTCCGTGGTATTCATGCATGCACCTGTGTGCAGGTGACAGATATCTCGTTTGGAGCGAAAAGCGATGTGGTGTGCACCACATCGGACGCCGGTGAGGCCAGATGCTATCAGGTTCCAAGATACGTCGCGCTGCTCAAACGAAGAGGTCTTTCTCCTGGACCTTTCGGACTACATGCCCGTCACTTCGGCCCTGGCGAAGTCGCCAGTTCGAAGTGCCGTCGTGCCTTAATCTTCAGCTCAAGTTGATGACACTTTGGGAAGATTTCTCCACAAGGTCATTGCGAGCAATGGAGAGATCCTCGCTGGTTATGTCGCATGGCTTCAGTCAGATCAGCAGATCTGTGTGATCATTCGCCGTTGGCCGCCCAGTGCCACTACTGACGCCAGGACGACGGCTTCCTGCGTGCCTGGTCTGCCGAGAAGGGCGGCAGCAGACTGCTGTGGCAGGTGAACTGTCACAGGCGGGACACAGGCTCAAGACTTGTTGAAGAGGGGCTGTCGAAGCAGGCAAGGGGTGACAGTGGTGCGGGAGTCCGCCAACTTCATCGTGACCGGTGGTGGAGACAGTGCTGTGCGCAGACGGCTTACCCGCAGGTCAAATACAAATCGTCGCGACATTCGGCACATCTGAGACTCTACACATTCTGCAGATTGCCCTGTGGGTCAGGCTTCTGGCAGCGAAGTTCGAGGGAACTCCTCTCGTCGGAGACTCACTCTCCTCATGATCATTAGAGGTCCAATGAATGAGATACTAGAACAATTGTGCTCCAGGTCTTTCCAAAACCACCGCAAGCCAGTAGCTGATCTCGTTTTGGACGAGGCTCGTCACGACAATCAATGTTTTACGGACAGGTTGTCTGCGGAATCTTCGGAATCTGTTTCTGCCCCTGTTTCCATTGGTGTCCTAGCCTGCTTGGTTGCTGGCTTCGTGGCTCGTTGTGGCAGCTCAGCGCCTCAATGGCAGCCTCATTACTGTCAGCAAAATTTCGGGGAGCAGGAAACGTTGACCACTGCTGCTGCTGCTGCTGCTGCTGCTGGCTGCGCTTAGAACTACTGCGACTGCAGCCACGATTGTACTACTAGTACTGCTGTTGCTGCTGCTTTTACTACTACTACTACTACTACTACTACTACTACTACTACTTCTACTACTACGACGACGACTACTACTACTACTACGACAACAACTACTACTACTACTACTACCACTACTACTACTACTGCCACTACCACTAGTACGATTACTACCTACTACCCACTACCCACTACCTACTGCGTACTACCTACAACCTACTTGCTATGACTCACTACTACTACTACTACTACTACTACTACTACTACTACTACTACTACTACATCTACTACTACTACTACTACTAATAATAATAATATTACTATTATTATTTTCAATTGGACGCCGTGCGAGCGGGCTCAGCACGTTGCGGGCGATTGCCGCTGTGCACTCACTTGAATGTGAAACTGACCCGATGACCCTGTATGGTCTGAGAAGCCCTAGAAGTGTTCCAGTAATTGGTGACTGGGATTGCGGCCTACTCTGCCCTATGCATGTAATTCAGTCACTGCCAGCAGGGGTCAACAATCGGCCCGTATTGTGTGAGAGCATCGTAGTGCCCGCGGTACCTGAAGCCGGTATGCGGTGCATGTGCAGGAGCAACCACATGGATTCAAGACAGGAGGCTGCACTGCTGACTGTCGGCTCTTTTTCTTAGGCTGACGGCGACGGCTCCGTGCAAAAACGCCATCAGTCGGTTGCGTGGAAGAAAAGTGTGAAGAGTCGATGGATCAGTCAGGCATTGCCTCTGCAGCCATGCTTGGGTGCTGCCATTGGCGCCAGATGTAGCTATGCATTTTTCACTGGCGCCAGGAGTGGCCTCCACCGGAGCTGGAGCCAGAGCCTCTTTGCCACCAGCTGCCACTGGACCAAGATTCGCCATCCCGATGGCGCTTGTCTGTCCGGGCTGATGGCTCTTCGCCAGAGCGTTTGTCACGCTGCTCCTTTTGGCGGTGCCACTGAAAGATGGCCGTATCGCCTTTGTTGTGCTCTATCCGCAACTTTCGCAGCACTTGGCCGTGAATCGGTTGTTCGTGCCAATGGAGAGCGTGAATTGGCCATTGGCCCCAACCATGAGCTTTGCCTGCGTGATGTCTGTCCAGGTGGCATCTTTATCCGTGGCTACCCGCATGACAGGGGCAAAGATCCAGGGGACCGTCCTTGGTACTTGACCGCACGATGATGGTACCCGGGGCTGGAGTTTGTGGGGCCGTCTCTGTCTTGGAAGCTTCTGGGTCCGTTGGAGGCAGCTCCGGGGAATGCAGTGAAGCGGGCATCGCGAGTCTGGGCCTGCTGGGTTGCCGTCGTGGTGGAGTTGGCGTCTCCACAGAGGACGACGCCTCATCTCTCGTGCCCTGCCCTTGAGGTGGCTGCTGGTGTGGATGCAGCTGTCTGTACGCTTGCACGCACCGACACTCAACCAAGTGCGCGGCGAACACTCACGTGCAACCACGTCATGTGTGTTATGCATCAGTCCACAGCTTGCTGCAGCAAGTGCTGTGTGTGATGTGCCGAACCAACCTCGGTTCACTTGGTCATTGGCCCCATCCGCGTCTGTAATGGCGAACGGCCGGTGGCCCTGCTTGGTGTGTCAAGACCTGGGAGACTGCTGCCGTTGGCACCCATTTGGGAGGCCTGTCCGCTGTGGGAACCGGTGGCGAGGAATCTCTCATGCGCCGTGGAGGATCATCCTGCAAGTCAAGGTGCACTGGTGCTTGCCGTTGTATACTACTACTACTACTACTACTACTACTACTACTACTACTACTACTACAAAATCCACGTGGGCAAGTTCCGCTACGAATAGCTGCAAACTTGCGACCTACTCAGCAGTCAAGAGAATGGTGCAACATTGCACCCGTTCATACAATCAATAAAAGCGCCGGAAGCATGAAGACACGGGAGAACTAAAAAGTTGCTTCTGGGTTCGCCATCCGCGGCTAAGCGGCTGCAGTCCAACGAGGTGATGACCACGAAGTTCCCGTCCACGCTAATCCTCATGTAGCTAGCTGAGGAGCTGTTGGGCCAAAATTTCTGAGGTACAATGGATTCGCGGGGACTTGAATGAGCTGGCAGACGACCTCACCTACGAGAAGTTTGCTAGCTTCGACCCGCACTTCAGGTAGGACTTGAAAGGGACAAACACTACAGATGCGGGTACTTGGTCGACTCTTGGATCACGCGTCTAGCTTCTTCGAGGACGTAAGCGCGCGGAAGAGGACCAAGGAGCCCAAAGCTACGAGGTTCTCCAATGGAGCTCGTATTTAAGCCAGGTCCCTGGTAGCCCCGACCATCCCGAATCCGCATTGGTGGCGGGGGGGTCCGCTTCCCTGATCATCTTTAGTTGTTTGGGGGGCCGGGTCTAAGTTGTTTCGGGGCCGGGGCTCTCAGTAGTAGCACAGTAGTATTTTTGGAGTTACAGCAGTAGTACAGTAGTGGTACCTAAACCCTGAAGAAATAAAACCGGGAATTACGACTATTGACGGGATTTGACGGGGAGTTTATTATTACGTGCAGGCCGAGTTTAACTCTATTGCCTTTATGAATCGGGAGGTTACATTACGGCTGCGCATGGAGATCAGCTAGCTTCTCCGGGCGAACAGCGGCTTTCGCCACAACGCTAAACAGAGCGAGCTGTCCGAACAAACTGTTGAAAGCCCGAAGCTAAAGCGCCAATTTCACTGCTGCGATTCCTGGCGGTGTAGCTGGGAGGTGGTGAGTAGGATGTGCCAGCTGGTGTGCGCACTCGTGCCGCGGGACGAGGCACGACCATTTATGCTAGTGAAGTGGGTGAAACATCGAAAGCGTTTCGAAAATGTCTTGTTGGGAATACATCGTAAGTGCTTGTTCTAACATCTTCTAAACCCGACAGTTTGCGATCGAATGTTGGGCCACCCATGGCTTGAGGAACTTGCCATGCTTTGCCATGTGGCTGAAAGGCCCCACTGCTTGTGGCGGGCAAATTTGAAGTGCCCACCCATCCCACCTTGGAGATCAGCTAGCCATAGCTAGCCGAAGGTTAGATATTGCCTCCGGGCGAGCAGCCTTCGCCACAACACTAAGAAGAGTGAGCTGTCCTGTCCGAGCGAACTGATGCAAGACCGAATCAAAAGCGCTAGCTTTACTGCTGCGACTCCTGGTGGTAGTTGGTAAGTGGTGGGTAAGATGTGTTAGTTGGTGGACTTCAAACTACATTTGTTTGCAAGAAAATGTCCACACTGGGACGAAAGTGTTCCATGGCTCTGCGGCGATACACGGGCCTCCACAAGTGTGAATGGAAGGATGAACATACAAATCGAGGAGAAAGTACTGCTCTCCATGTGCTCTGGGCTTCCCTTGTCAAGCTTTTCTGCGGTACATGTTGGTTGCACGCTCGCCTCTGCAGGTGAGCCCGCACGTGGTTCACTCTGGAAGCGAGGACAAGCTGGTTGTGACGTATGCGAAGCCCTCGGCAATGCAATGCTCCAGCTTCTGTTCCTGCGAAATTCGCACGACGTTCCCAAGGACCTCAAACAGAACAAGGCACTCGTCCAGCACACGTCGCCACTCAGCTGTCTTTTGCCGGGGTTATCAATAACATTCAACAAAGAGCCATTGACTAACCGTCTTTTCTTCCTGCCCATGCGCATATCTGTTGTCTAGTCTGGTACCGATATGTACTGATGCTGTTGCTCTGTACCTTGAACTTCAGTGCTCATTCTAGTTCCTACACTCGTCGACCTGGCCTGCGGCGACAGCAGCAATATGATGCTCAGCGGAGAGGAATAGCCAAGCATCGAAGGCCGCCTCAACCAGCAATGCTAGACCCACTGTGAGGGCAAAACCATGCAACAACACCAGGATAGTTCAATGCAACACGTCTCAGGCTTGGTGGAAACATCACCAACCTTTCGCAGCGCAAAGACCGCGACAACGAGGCTCTCGGCACAGCATTCCAACGAAAGGAGCAGGGCTGCCAAAATTCGTGAGGTGGTAAGTTGTGCGCAAGATGGGAAGCTCCTGTTCTGGGACGTGGACTATCCTGATCCAACAGGCTGGTTTGCTGAGTCGCAGGGCCAACGGTCGGAGGAAGTTTGCAGGCCTGTGATGAGGATTCTGCAGAGCGTTGAACTGGGCAGGCTGCATTGACAGCCCAACGGGGATGCCGCTCAGACTGCCACGCCTTCAGAATCAGACAGGGTACCTTTGTTTGCTGAGTGTTTGGCCAACACGGTGTCATAGGCATAGGACATAGCGGCTGCCTTCCCTTCATCTAAGCTACCATTGCTTCGTGAGTTCGCATTCGCAGCAAAACCTAGACCTGGGGTTTCGACGAGCAAAACAAGTGAATAAGCACATACGTCGTAAGTATAACTGAGCCTACAAACACATCGGGTACACCAGTTGACGGATATGGGCAGCACGAATGCTATCGAAAATTTTGAGGTAGTGAGTATGCAGGTCAGGGTGTCTCACACCCATGTACATGTAATAACCCATTCTCAGAACATGCACTCGCACACGCACGTGCACATGCAGGCATGCTCAATCATGATGAAATGCAATTTTTCATATATATATATATATAGTACCCCCCCCCACAGATCCATGTATTTTGTATGTTTTCACCTCTTTCCCCCTCGCGAGCATCTCCTCACGTCCATTCTTCCAGCCATCGTCTCCTCATGACGGCACAAACCCCTCCTTCCATTCACATGTCTCGGATCATCTCCTCATCACCGCACGAACCGGCCATATTGAAACCCAATGCGGCCCAATACTTCAATATGGCGGAACCCGGCCCATATTGAAATATTGAACCACATTGAGTTTCAATATGGCGGATCCAAGATCCAAGATTGCACGCGACTCTTGGGGAGGAATCTTGGATCATGGAACTTGGATCTGCTATATTGAAATTCAATATGGCCTCAATATTTCAATATGGCTCTCCCTGAATCCAAGATTCCTTCCAGGAGTCCCGTGCAATCTTAGATCTTGGATCTTGGATCCGCCAAATTCAATATGGCCGCAATATTTCAATATGGCTTTCCCTGAATCCAAGATTCCTTTCAGGAATCCCGTGCAAACTTAGATCTTTGATCTTGGATCCGCCATTGAAATCAATGTGTTTCAATATTTCAATGTGGTCCTCTGCCCTTCTTGGTTTTGTTATCTTGTGTCAGTCTGCATGTGCAGGTCTGTGGCACCCAAAGAGTCAAACAAACCAGTGGCCACCTTGCCCCGGTGCAGAATGTCTTTTTGCGCCCTAATAGCGTTCTAATTCAACGAGGACTTGTGCTTTGCCGCCTCGCTGAAAGCTGGGTTCATTTTGAAATTCTAACTCATGGACTCACTCCGAAACCTTGAATCGCAGCAGTACATTGGGAAAGCAGTTTGCTCACCTGGGGGATCAAACCATGACATGTATCAAAAGTAACTTGGTCTGGTTGTCATGTGAAACTGTACAACAAATACAATCACTACCACGGTTTGTATTTGTTTTCTTAGAAACGGCAGAGAGATGCATTTTGTTTTTGGCTGTCAGTCTCACTGGCTGTTTAATGTTTACGTTTATCAAATCGCACAAGTCCTGATGCAAAAGGATGATAAATGTGATGCTTCAGATTCAGTGTACACTATTAAATGATAGTGTAAGTAAAAGAGTGTCTTAATGTTGTTTCATTAGGTCCACCTAAATAACTGGAAATGAACATATTTTGGCTTTATGAGAAAATGAAAAATGTCTTAAGGCATGTTAGCTGGAGTTTTGTTGCTAGCATAAGCGCAAGGCGGTAGTAGTAAACCAGGATCAAGGCTAGGGCCTGAACCTTATTAATGTTCATGTGTGGTTACTACTCGTAGTAGTTGACTGTAGTAGTAGTAGTAGTAGCAGCAGTAGTATTATGCCTCTTGTGGTGGTTTGATACAACCATCTTATGAGACTTGGAACAGTGGTAGGATTTTCTCTAATACCATGAACCAACATCGAGAGTAATGTGGTGAAGATTAAGATTTAGTAGAAACAGTACTCGTAGCACGAGTATTTATAATAGTAGCATGAGTAGTAGCAGCAGCAGTAGTCGTAGTAACAGTAGCAGTTTAATAGTAGTACTAGTAGCATCAGTATTAGTAGTAGTAGTAGTAGTAGTAGTAGTAGTAGTAGTAGTAGTAGTAGTAGTAGTAGTAGTAGTAGTAGTGGTAGTAGTAGTAGTTGTTGTTGTTGTGGTTGTAGTTGTAGTAGTTGTTGTTGTTATAAGTAGCAGTAAGTAGCAGCAAGTAGTAGTAAGTAGTAGTCGCTGGAGCATGTGCCACGACAAGAAACAGAACCACGAACCACGAAACTGGTACTTGTTTTGAAAACTTGAGTGTTGTGTTATGATGCGCATAGACAGTAGGCGCAAAAGAATCGATGTAGAATCTAATGGTATTTACAGTGTTTTCGGCTCCTAGCTGCAACAACATAGCAATTACATGGTCGAGATTGCTCCTGGGGGGTTACCATCTCAATGGCAGTAGTAGGAGCAGGCACAATAACAGCAGCAGCTGCTGCGAACAGGTCGACATGCATGGGTCTGTTGGTATTTAGGGGGGTGGTGGGGGGGAGGGGGGTGGTGGCATATAGATATAGATATAGATATAGATATATATATATATATATACACACACAGATTTATATACGTAGGCAGTCGCACGTGGTCTGACATCGTTGGTAGACTGCCTAGCCGTAAAAGCACACCAAAGAGGGGTAGCATATATATGTATATAAACACGCATAACAGATGTACATAGTTACAGATGAATATCTGAATATACATACTTCCATTCTTACATGCATTTTGGCATGCATGCATGCATGATCATGCATGCATGCAGACACACACGCGCACACGCACACACGCACACACCCACACACACACACGCACACACGTGCACACGTGCACACGTGCACACGTGCACACGTGCACACATGCACACATGCATGCAGACATACATACCGGCATACATACCTACATACATCATGCATACATGCACACATCCATCCTTCCTTCCATTCATCCGTTCATGCATGCGTACGTACGCACCTACGCGCAGACAGACAGGCAGGCAGGCAGACAGACAGACAGACAGACTGACACACAGACACACAGACACAAGCAGGCAGGCAGGCAGACAGCCAGACGCCCAGACGACCAGACAGCCAGACAGATAGACAGATAGATTCATAGATAATTAGTGATGTGCTGTTGCTACACTTAGCAGACAGACGCTTGATCAGTCGAAACACCTGAAGAACCTCGCACCACGGGGACTCGAATGCACTTGAGAAAGAACAAACGCACGGACGGACACATTCCCACAAACACATACTCACATGCACTGGTACCTGCATACATCCATACATACATACACACATGCATGCATACATACTTACTGCACGCACATTATGCTCATGCTGGCAACATGGTATTCGGCATTCATTCGCCCAGATGTGGACTTATGTAAGGCGGTGTTGCGAAGTGTCCCCAAATGGTCGCTACATCGTGGCGGGTTGCGATGATTCTAGGACAGCTGAATGCAACCGATGCGGGGAGGCACCACGGAATGCAGCTGCGATTGATCATCCGGCAAGGATGTACATCTACGACCTGGTGTCGTGTCAATGCATACAAGAATGCGACGGACATTCAGGCCGAGTTCATGTATCTTTTGAAGTCTTGCATATTGCAAGTGGCAGGTGGGCTGTCGCAGGTTCGTTGGAGCCCAGACCAGAAGCAGATCATCAGTGCAGGGAAGGTGGGGCCTCCTAGGACGCAGATTCACACCGTCTGCCGCTTGGTTTCCGAGAAAAACAAGTCCCGGCCGGCTTCGGCAAACTCTTCCGCGTTGAAATCCGGAGGTCGAAACCTCTCCCACGTGACGACAGCTCCACCAAACCCAGTTTGCTGTGCTGCTTGCAGTCGTGTACTACTTGTAGGAGCCTAAGCGCTCAACCACCCCAGCCCGAGCAAGAGTCACCTGCAAATGTAAACAAGAGGAAAGACTGATGTGCTAAAAAACGTCGAACAAAACCCTCAAACAAAATTCTGTGACACAGTTCCACATTACCGCAGATGGGGCGCTCTGCCGGAAACAGCATTCATTTCGATCAGGCATGACGTCTGAAAGAAGCCATCGGTATTCAATCGAGTGCGTGGCAGAAGATAGTGCGCAGCAGAACACCGACCTTCGAGCTACACACAGGGAGGGTGAAGCAAGATGCAGGATGGTTGCATCATTGTGTGGAATTTCTTCGAGTTATGAGCTTTGCTTGCATGATCCAGTGTGGGAATTCAATGCGGCTTCTGCAATGAAATGCGTCTCGCGAAGCCAAGCGAGCTTGCAAGCCGTATCGTTAATGTGGAGCCGGCCAGCCAACGTGTTGCAGTCATTGCAAGGCTCGTTTCACCGTCTCACCCAGTCTTCACTGCCGAGAAGCAGCGAAGCAGTGGCAAAGGAGATAGAAAAGGGGGCGAGAGAAAAGGAAACACAGAAACAGCTCTTGGAGTAGCTGAGGCAGGGTGGCACAGCATTTCACAGCACACTTTCATGGAGTGACTACGAGTTACGAGCACTTTAAGAATCCAGAACAGAACTCTCTATGGCTCTTGCCTATCTTTTGATCTCTCTTCAAGAACTCAAGAATGTGCAATCACTGTAGTTTCTGCTGTAACGGTTAGTGACATCAGATTGGTCGATGAGCCCTTTCCAACCATGCTGCATTTGCAAAGGTAGCTCCCTGTACACGGCAGGGTACAAATCCAGGACATTCCAGGACCGACCTCAGCAAAAAGAGAGCGGCAGCTGCAACTTGGACATGAGTCGCAGGACAGGGAGAAACACAGTTGTTTGATTGCCGTCCGATGCTACAACGGTTCATTAAAAAGCAAGTCCAGCTTTTGGACGTCGGCAGCGACGAAACACTTGTGGAGGCCTACCGAAGCACATCGACCAAGCTTTCAACTAGACAACATCCCGCCCTCATGCCGCACCGGCTCGACGCAATGGGAGCTCGAACCTCTGTCTCTCTCGGCCCAGGATCTCTGGAACATCGGTGCAGAAAGGTATCCCTTTGGGGGTAGTTACTCCATGCCTGGCCTATTTCGGGACTCTCCCCAGGCTGATTTCGTGAGAGTGGAGGCGGGGGTCAGCCCCGTGCACACTGAACAGCCACTATGAAGCCTGGTATCCATGTATATACATGTATAGCAATGATGTGATGATTCTTGGATGCTATTTGTCTATGATCCGTGCCTATCCCGATCCGAATTGCACTGCACAGATCGTGAACGAAGCTGCATGCCGCAGTTGTTTAAAGCTTGGTCTGTTGTCGTGGGACCATGTTTCTCGGGCTGCCTGGAGGAGGGCTGCTTGCAGAAGTCCGTAAACATGAGGACTCCTTGTAAGTCGTACATTCCGGAAGGATGTGATATCATCGACTGTACTTGGCCTCCGGTGCCTGATACAAGGCCTCTACAGGCAGGCATACGTACAGGCCGGCAAAAAGGATGCCCAAATAGGCCACTTTCGGAGGGTTGGTGTAGCCGCTCTGAGAGGACCTCACTGATGCTCATGATGCTCGCTGACAGGTGCCCCAGTCCTGGTCACCATGCTCGTTTACCGGCTCTGATTGGAGAACGTGTCAGGGGCTTCGCTGCTTCGCGGGCATTGCCGAGGTCATGGCAAACGTGTCTTGCGCACACGCATGAATTGTCTCTCATCGCCCAGTCTCATTCATCCTTCGAAATGAGTTGCGGAAAATCTTGACAGGGAGAACCGTGGATCCTCAGAACCCTTGTGCCTTTGAAAGGAAGCCACTCATGAGATCCAAACTTCTCAGCATGCCTTTCGAAAGCTTCCCAAATTGACATCCTTGTGGAGACCGTCAGCTCGTTTGTCCGGTTTGGGCATAAACCTTATTCCAATTCGAAGAGATTTGTTAGTTTCGTACTTTGTGTTCGCACAACGATCGGGCTCAAGCTCGACTAATCTCGACCGGATACCAGCTTTTGAGGCCGAGCTGATTTGCAGTTGTCAACGGGCTTGTTCCTCAGTCTTCGTTGTGCCAGGCCAGACATGTTGTGCGATGAGCTCTGCACTGGACTTCGCCGCTACAAGGTCTGTGGACTGTTCAGATAGCGCCGCTAGAAGGGGAGGGGGGATTCATATTCCCTGAGTATGGAGGGGCTCGTAGTCTTTGGGGGGGGCGGGGGCTCGGGGTTGGTAATGTCACCTTATGACATTTCATTGGAGCGGGGCTTGAACTTGTGTCTTGGAAAGGACGCTTTTTTTCAGTTCTCCGCGGCTTAAGAGAGCACAGGAGTTGACAGTCCAAAAAATGCAGGAGGTTGCAAAGCATTCAAATCACTCATGGTTAATCTCATACTTAGTGGTACTAGTGGCTTACGAGAGCAGGGAATTTGCAATTTAAAAGCGGGGGGCTTGGGGGGGCGCAGAAACGCGCGGGGGTTGGGGGGGCGGTTAGGCTCTTAGGTAAAGGCAGGAGGTTTGCGCAATGTTTAGCAAGAAGCGAACACAGCTCTGACGTAGACGCGGCGGGATTTCATGTCGGATAGTCCAGACATGATGGAGCACCGTGCGAGAAAGCGTGCTCCTGCACTGGACAAGAGGAAGCGAAGCAGCCACAAAGAGGTGCACTGATGCTGGAGCATGCTTACCACCATGAACTGTTGCATGATTTGTAAACCTGGTCTTGGGAACCTATATTCCGGACTTTGGTAACCTAAATTCCAAATTTTGGCTTTGTTACACTGCTGCTAATCCCTTGAAATGGCAGAATTTGGCGTTGTTGCACCATTCTTGGTCCTTTTATTATGCATAAGACTTTGACAAATAAGCCATGAAAATGTATGCTGCTTTCATGGTAATCGTTTTCAAGGTTAGGGGGGGGGCAGGGCGGATCAATTATTGTTAAGTTAAGCTTGGTGGGGGAGTGGATTCAGGGTCTAGGGCTATGGCTTTTAGGGTTCAAATTTGGGCCTGGGGTTCCGAGCTGGGGTTATTCAATAATAATAAGTAAGTCAGAGTCAGTGTGCTGCCAAGCACAACCCGAACCCTGAGTGCTGTGAAGCACAACCCCGAACCCGTGTGCTGTCAAGCACAAACCTGACCCTTGGTGTTGAAAAGCACGACCCCTAACCCATGTGCTGTTAAGCACAACCCCCAACCCTGACCCAGGAGGTGCTGAAAAGCACAAGCCTACCTGTGCTGCAAAGCACAACCCCGAACCCTGACCCCGGTGCTGCAAAACACAACCCTGACCTAGTGCTGAAAAGCACAACCCCCACTGCAGTGCTGTTAAGCACAACCCAGCTTGTGCTGCCAAGCACATATCGACCCGTTGTTCCGGGACTCCATCTATGTGCAGAGCCGGAGCCTTCCTCGAAAAGTTCATCGGCGAGAGGTGGGCGCCCCCCAGAAGCCCTGGGGATTGTAACAGGGAAGCAGTGAGAGAAAGGGGCGCCGACCCAAAGACCGGTGGGCACCGAACCCGAGAACAGGTGGTTGGTGGTGAGCCTGAAACCACCCTGCTTCCCTCACTCTAGTTTTGAACCCCCTGTCAGGTGGCACCTCGGCTTGACTTCAGACATGCAGACCTGCACGACACATAATTATTCATTCTCAATGTCAATGCAGTATTAGTTCTCAGTTTTAACTGGCCTCATAATACACAATTAACACTTCCATGACTCTATACATACCTCACATGCACACACATGTGCACATGCATCCACACACACACACACACTGACTCAATGAGCCCCCCCCTCCAGCTGCTCCCACCCCCACATCACAGCCACCCACACAACTGCACCGACACCACACCCACACACACATTTGTGTTGAAGTTGGTTTCAGTCAGGACCTAGAGAATGGGTTTCGGGGTGTAGGGCAATCCCTTGGTGCTGTCAAGCACGAGACAAATGGAGTCCAGCTTGCTGGACTCCATTGTGTCTGTGTCTGTTAGTGGTTGTGTGGGTGCATGTGGGTGGGGGTGCAGGTGCATGTGGGTGTAGGTGCAGGTCAGGGTGTGGGTCTGGGTGGTGTGGGTGGTGTGTGGGTGTGCGGGTGTGTGGGTGTGTGGGTGTGTAAGTGTGTGGGTGTGCATGTATGGGTGTGGGTGTAACCTGCTGCATTGCAGGACATCAGCTTTGCAGCCTCATGGCTGTGGCTGCCAGTTCCTCCGCTGTGCCAATGGAGAGTCAGAAGGAGGGAGTGAGGGAGGGAAGGAAGAGAGAGGGAGGGAATGACAAGGAGTGCAGGAGTCGGGAGCATATGAGTGCCAATCCATCCTAGGTGCAAAGTTGCAACACGACATTTTTTCACAACTGGCACATTCATCTCTTCCACTTCGGTGTCAATGGAGCAGGCATCCTCTCCTGCAGTGGGTGCTATCTCTAGCACACCCCAGCCAATCTTCTCACTTAGACCCGGACTTCGGGTGAGATGGGGATTTCAGGTGGTGGAGGAACAGCCTGCTAGCACTTCATCTGTGACAAATGCATTCAGTGGACACCTTGTGCGCAGTGGTGCCTTGGCCGATGCTGCAGATTTGGCAGTCGTTCCATGAACAGCCTGCCACATCCATCACAGCACCCAAACAAGTTTTGGGATTCTGACTTAGCTCACTGCTCTGTGCCTGGGGCTGCAGGCCTGCTGGTCTGCATGCTGGGGGCTGCTGCACCTGCCAAGTGCAAGGGAATCACAATGACGATTCTGACTTAGCTCACTGCTCTGTGCCTGGGGCTGCAGGTCTGCTGGTCCGCCTGGCAGGGGCTGCTGCACCTGCCAAGTGCAAGGAAAGCACAAAACACGTTTCCGACTTAGCTCACTGCTCTGCACCTGGGGCTGCAGGTCTGCTGGTCTGCATGCTGGGGGCTGCCGCACCTGCCAAGTGCAAGGAAATCACAAAAGACGATTCTGACTTAGCCTCACTGCTCTGCACCTGGGGCTGCAGGTCTGCTGGTTTGCCTGCTGGGGGCTGCCGCACCTGCCAAGTGTAAAAAGTAATTAGTAATTAGTCTCTGGACTACTCTAAACAGTCTTTGCACCTGTGGCTCCCTGGTGGACTTTCTTGCTGGTGGCTGGGCCTTCCAAGTCAAGTGCAACCAAAGTCTACTGATTCAGAACTGCTGTTATTGCCTGCTCAACAGGGAGCGGTCTTGTTGTGGCCGCAGATTGGCCACGAGCCTGCCCAGCATACAAAGGGTTCAAAGCATTTGGCTTGAGTTGGGACGGTGCACCTCCATTCTTTGGCGCTTCCGGTCCTGCTCTATCTTGAAGGCTTGGGTCTTCTCTCTTGCTGCCTCCTCTCGGGCCTCTTTCTCCTTCCTTCGTCGAGCGATGTCCTTGTTCTCCTTCCGGGTTCCTTCTGCCAGCTTGTCCATGTTCTCTCGCCAAGAAGAATATCGGTCTGCAATGTGCATTTTTTGCCTCTCCTTGGCTTCCCTTGCTCGCATGGTTAGCTGCCTTTGGGCCTCTACTGCAAGGCGTTCCTCTTCCTCTCTTCGGGCTACTTGATTTGCCAGATGCTGTGCCTGGAAGCTCAGCATGGCCGTAGCAGCTGCAACCTCTGCCCTCTGCTGCACCATCCCCCTCACAGCTTGCTCTGCCAAGTCGATTGGCACCTGAGGCAACCTCGGATCCTGCCAATCCGATGGGGGTGTTCTCTCACCCAAAGGAAGCAGCTTCTCTGCCTCTGCACATTGGCCAATTGCTCTCGCAACTTTGCCACCTGTTTTCGCTCTTCCTGTCTTTTGTCATAGGCTGGAGGACGTTGTTTGCTTTCTCCTCCCTTACCATGGCTGTGCCCTCTCATGTTGGCTGCATGGCTGTAGGGCAGTAGAAAAGGCTAGAGGCTGGGCTCGGCTTGAAGTTTGGTGGATGACATGCACAACATGTGTACCTTGATCTTCTCTGGACATTGAGGTCTTTGTCTGCTGTACTGTGAAAGAATTCAGAAAGTTTGCAAGGTTTGAGTGTGGGCTCAGCTTCCAGCTACAACTTGACCAGGCACTATCACCTTTGTCACATTTCCGAGACAGAAATTGAGCGATCAAGCATTGATGAGCATGATGTGCTGGGACAATCACTCAATGCAGTTGGCACAGCAGACTTGTATTCTGTGATGCAGCCCAGGCTCGGCTCTTTGTTGAAGCCGGGCTGCTGGGCTGCGCCATGGTGGAGCACCTCTGCTGACAAGCAGGAAAGGCAACTTTCATCTATGTGCTGACCAGCACAGATCTGATTGATGCCAGCTAGCTGGCATCAATCTTGTTTGTGACTACTAGTTCTCAGGACTACTACTACTGCTACACTGCTACTGCTACTGGTACTGGTACTGCTGCTGCCACTGCCACTGCCACTGCCACTGCCACTGCCACTGCTGCTACTGCTACTGCTGCTGCTGCTGCTGCTGCTACTGCTACTGCTACTGATACTGCTACTGCTGCTGGTGCTGTTGCTGTTGCTGTTGCTGTTACTGTTACTGTTACTGTTACTGTTACTGTTACTGTTACTGTTACTGTTACAACAACAACTACTACTGCGACTACTACTACTGCTACTACTACTACTACTACTACTACTACTACTACGACTACTACTACTACTGCTGTTCGAGCCATTTTAGCCCAAAGCTTCTTTGCAGAACTCAAGCAACGCTTGACAGCTGTGGGTTCCGATCCCAGCGGACTCACAGAGCAGCAGAGGACGGCGCTCCTCTCGAACGGCGAGTGGATCATGATGAAGTGGTGCTCGGTCAAAGCCGAGATGATTGCCGATCCCAGTCGACCAAGCATGAGCCTCGCTACAACCCTCCAACTCGTCGACAGCATCTGTCAGGCAGTGACAAATCCGGAGACTGTCCTGAAGTTCAACGCAAAGCCACCAGGGCTCACGGCTGCGCCCAAGAACGGACGCATCACCATGCTCTTGGAGATCTCCCAGCGCTTCCCCCAACTCATCGAGGCAATGAGACTGCTAGCGGGCCACTCGTGCCTCACACTACTCAATGCCCAAGTGAAGTACGAATCCATGATGAGATCCCCAGCGGTTCAAGAGCTCCATCAGGCTTTCTTCTCAGGCAAGGGTGCAGCCAAGGGAAAGGGCCAGAACAGGAAAGGCCAGGGCAGAGGACACTCAGCTGCAGAGCAGGAATCACAGCTGCTGGCTCATCCAGACCATGCCACGCATCACCATCCCGCTCTGAGGCTTCCGAGCGAGACAGTAGGGCGCCTGACTTGCCTACTTGGCTCTTCCCGAAGGCTACGGCCGGAAACTCAGAGAATTTCAGGATCCTGCGGCAAGGCCTTCTGCGACGCAAGCTCTACAATCCCCATAATTATTGTTACATTAATGCTGTTGTCTCCAGCCTTATGTGGGCTATCCTTAATACTCCCTCTGCTTGCACTCTTGAACTAAAGCAAGAAGTTTGGCCGGTCATCCTGCAGTACCACGAGCAGCAAGCTAATAACCCCAACCGCCTAAACCTGACACAGGCCCTAAGAACCATCCTAACCGGTTGGCCCCACCTAGGACGTCAACATGATGCAGGTGAGTTCTTAGCGTTTGTAGGTAAAGCTGTCCTCCAACGAAGCTTCCTAGGCAGGTGGGAGGCAAGAGTCAGGGAGCACGGCGCAGTGAGCACAATCGAAGAAGGAACTACAGACAGGCCAATACACCTCCTGCCTGCAGACACGCAAGACTTGGACCTGCTGGTTCACCAGTGGTCCCAGCAACGAGGTCTGCAAGCGCTTCAGCAAGCCCCAAAACTCCTTGCCCTTGCTTTGCCCAGATTCCAAGAGTCCGATAACGGTATTCTAAAAAGAAATGACCCGTATTATGTCCTGCAGCCGCACCTCGCATTCCCCACCTTTGACGACGATGCGTTTAGTTTGACCTCGACCAACTTTCAACTCCAAGCCGTCATCATCCATGACGGGCCGAGCATCCACCAAGGTCACTACAGATGCGTGTTGCACGACAGCAGTGACACGTGGTGGTTGAAGGATGACAATCGCTCAGCCGTAAAGCTGGAATTTACGGATACACTCGAGTTGTGTAGAGAAAGGGCCTTTGTACTCTTGTACACTAGAGCTGACTAAGCCATCCTTCGGTCCCACATTGTAGGGGTACACAATGTGAGGGTCTTCGCATCTGACCGCACCAGGTTGGCTCCCAGGAGGCATAAAAGAGCCAATCCGCAACTGCAACTGCGCCTTTCTTTCTCCTGCTGCTTGTGGCCCTCCGGGGCGGCGCGAATCATCCATGCCACAGTATCTACGGATAGGGCATGTGCTCCTCTAAGGAGCCGCTCCCCCAAAGTGGGTAGTGTAACATGTACGCAAGCGAGACCGGACCTTGCAGCGTGGTGAGTGAGTGAGTGAGTACTACTGCTGTTACTGCTTGCTATTACTGAAATTTCCACCACCACAACAACAACAACTACTACTACTACTACCACCACTACTCCTATTACTACAAAGGCGACTACTACTACTGCTGCTGCTACTACTACTACTACTTCTACTACTACTACTACTACTACTACCACTTAGGACTACAACTACTAAGGACAACAACAACAGCTGCTGCTGCTACTACTACTACTACTACTACTACTACTACTACTACTACTACTACTACTACTACTACTAGGAGCCCAGCAGCACCCACTGGCATCTATGCTTGGCTGCCAGCTGGCAACCATGCTCAAAGACAGCATGCACGATTCCTCCTGAGGTCAGGTCTTCCTGCTGGAGGCTTCCGTCTGGCACATACCTCAGTCCACCAGCTGTTGTCATCTCCCACATCTCCAAGCTTGAAGTCTGGACGCATTGCCTGGACTTCCGGCAGCAGCTTGCTGTCCAGCCCTACAGCCCTGCAGCCAACATGGGAGGGTACAGCAGGGGCAGAGGTGGCAAACAGCAGCCAGAGGAGCGAGAGCAGGGGACACAAGAGGGAAGCACAGGTCGTCCTCCAGCCTATGAGAGAAGACAGGAACCGAAAGCAGGTGTCAGAGTTGCGAGAGCAACTGGCCAATGTGCAGAGGCAGGTCTCCTGGCTGACTGAGAAGCTGCTTCCAGTGGGTGAGAGAACACCCCCACCAGATTGGCAGGATCCGAGGTTGCATCAGATGCCAGTCAACCTGGCAGAGCAGGCTGTGCAAGGGATGCACAAGCAAAGGGAGCAGGATGCAGCTGCCACGGCTGTGTTGAGCTTCCAGGCACAGCAGCTGGCAAGAAAATGGGAGGCCAGAGCTCAGGAAGACCGTTTCAAGATTCTAGAGGCTGAAGAGCAGCAAGCCAGAGGTTGGTAGGCAGCTCAGCAGCCCTGCAGCCCTGCACACAGACCAGAAGAAGGCAGTAGCAGACTCTTCTGGACAAGAGAAGATGGACACACTGGCAGCAGGGACCCAGAAGGAGAACGAGGAGATCGCTCGACGAAAGAAAGAACGAGAGGAGCAGAAGGAAGCAGCAAAGGAGAAAGTCAAATCTTTCGAGATAGCGCAGGACCAGAAGCGCCAAAGAATGGAGGCGGATCGTCTGAAGCCCACACGACAAATTAGCATCTTTCTGACTGCCAGGCACATGAGCTGACCCCACAGCTCAGAAGTTCCTGCTGTGTCCACCTGTTGCAGGGGTGTACACCCAGCAGGCACGGGTGCAGGAATAGCCTGGCACTGGAGAGCAATTTGGCAGTAGCACTTGCCAGGTGCAGCAGACCCTGGCAGGCAGCCCAGCAGCCCTCCAGTCCCAGGCACGGACCAGGCAGCAAACTCAGTATTCATTAATGTTGCACTTGGCAGGTCTCGGCAGGCACAGGGTCTCGAAGAGTTGTCAGGGTCGGAAGAATGTTGTAGTCATCATGTTTGAAATTTGGCAGATGCAGCATCCACAGGGGCCGCCCCAGGTGCAAACCAGCAATTGGAGTAAGTGTGAATGTGCTTTTTGTTGTACTTGGCAGTCCCTCGCACCGGAGCCGCCGCTGCAGCAGGCACAGGCCCAAGGGGTGACCTGCAAGGCAACAGTAATTGATTGTGACTGTGGACACAGTCACAATCGGAGTGAAATCCAAGAAAATGGTGCCCCTCATCTGCCAGGTCCAGCCAGCAGCAGGCAAATGCATGGAGGCATAGAGACCACACTGAATGTAAGACAGACATAATGTCAGTTCCACATTGTCACAGGTTCCTCTACATGGCAGCCGCCCGAAGGCCAGTGGCAGGGTTCAAGACGAACAGACCTGGGACACCAATCATCAGCATGACCCTGACAGGCGAAGCCAGATCCTCCAGACAAAGTAAAGGACAGCAAGGCACTCCCCGACACATGAGGCGAAGATGCTGGGATCCAACCGTGAAGCTGTTACTGGTGAGCCGTGAGCTGGGAGCAAAAAGTGCAACGAGTGACTAGCATTTGCTGCCATACTCTCTCTCCCTGCCTGTCTCTCTCACTCCCTCCCACTGACTCTTTATTGCCGCAGTCACAGCCAAGGAACTGCCAGCCGCAAGGCTGCAGGGCTGCAAGGCTGTGGCGCTGGCGCTGGCCCCTGGCGTCCTTTTCAGCAGGAGGTTCAAAGAAACTTTTTTGGGCTTGTTTGAGTGTCACTTCTGTCCACACAACACAAACTAACAATGGAGTCCAGCAAGCTGAACTGCGTTCATGTGCTTGACAACACCACGGGGTAGGGGTGACCTGACACACACACACACCACACACACACAAACACACACACACACACACACAAACACACACACACACACACAAACACAACACACACACACCCACACACCCACACACCCACACACACCCCCACACACCCACACACACCCCCACACACCCCCACACACCCCCACACACCCCCACACACCCCCACACACCCCCACACACCCACACACACCCCCACACACCCACACACACCCACACACACCCACACACACCCACACACACCCACACACACACACACACACCATCACACACCCACACCCGCACACAGGCACACACGCACACACGCACACACGCGCACACACACGCGCACACATGCGCACACATGCGCACACACGCGCACACACGCACAAACACACACACACGCACACACACGCACACCCACACACACCCACACACACACACACACACACCCACCCACCCACCCACCCACCCCCCCGCCCGCCCACCCACCCACCCACCCACCCACCCACCCACCCACGCACGCACGCACGCACGCATGCACGCACGCACGCACGCACGCACGCACCCACGCACCCACGCACGCACGCACGCACGCACGCACGCACGCACGCACGCACGCACGCACGCACGCACGCACGCACGCACGCACGCCCGCACGCACGCACGCACGCACGCACGCACGCACGCACGCACGCACGCACGCACGCACGCACGCACGCACGCACGCACGCACGCACGCACGCACGCACGGCAGGCAGCAGAGGCGACCGCTAGTCGGGACCCGACAGCTACGGGCAGCACCGACCCGGCTGGTGCCCACCGCTACAACAGGAGCCGCTACGTTGGATCCCACGCCAGCTGAAGCAGCCGCTAGGAGGTTCATGGATGTGGGACCGACGGCCGCTACTACCTCCTTTTCCCGCGCTACAAGCCCGAGCCGAGGCAGAGCTAGAAGCCCGGGCCGTGGCAAGGGGAAGGACAACGCTAAGGGCAGGGGGCCAGCAGGCCGAGGGCAAGGGCCCACCGCCCGCTACTATCAATATCTTCGACTATACGTGGGGGATGCTATTTGACGACCCCGACCGCTACCTTGAACTGCTACCTCGCTCGCTTCAGCAGCAGCGCGCTATCGAGGCAGCGGGCGGCATGCCGGACAACGTCCGCCAGGCTAAGGGGACACCGGTGAGTGTCGCGCTAAAGGGCCGAGCCAGGCCTCCGGCCGGAGCCCACGCTAACAGCTTGCCCAGAGGCACAAGCTACTGGTACCTTGAGCTATCGTGGTCCAGCATCGACCGCGATCTCTGGCCGCTAGGTACATGGGACCGCCGCTACGAGCTGGGCAAGGGCAGACCCGAACCCTCGCTATGGAAAGGGTGAGGATGGCAACCTCACGCTAGACGCAGTCCGCTACGACGAGCACCTCTATGGCCTAGGCAGGGAGGATGCCGCGCTAATGTGTCGCTATGCCCCCCCACCGGCTGGCACCGCCCCGGGGGACAGGGCTAACGAACTGCTAGCCATGCTCCTGCCGAGCTGCTATACGCAGTTCCGAACAGGACGCTGCCGCTACTCCCTCGGCCACTGGGACACTAACGCGGCTATTTTCCGGTGTGCCACTACTTGCGAAGTGTGCCAGCTACAAGCCTGTAATAGGCGTATGTGGTTCAAAATAGACGACCACGCTACGCACTGTTGCGACGGCTGCAAGCGCTGGTCCCGTGGCGAAGACTGGGGCGGCCGCTAAACAGAGGGCCCCGGGCCCCGCTACATGTACAGGTGCACGCGGCTACCTTTGCAGCGCCCTCTGCTGCCGACCGCTAGCCGTTGCAAAACGGAAGGGCAGCGCTAGTGTCTGAATGCATGCAGCAGCCCATGCTACACGCATGTCGGCAGCCAGAAAGAAGGGAAGAGCTAGAGCGAGAGAGAGTGTTGGGACTGCGGGGAGGGGCCGGGGTCGGTGAGGCTGCTAGGGCTGTCTGCGACTGCAGTGCCTTTTCAGCGAAGCTATCGACTGCCACCTCACACACTCTCACGCTAGGAGCTTTTCCCCTTTAATGCTAGCTGCCGCTTTCCATTTGCTACGCTTTTCCATCCAGCGTTGTAAGCCTCGACCGTGCCTGCTACCATGGCAGAGGCAGAAGCTCTAGCAAAGAAGCTAGCCCTCGGCAGCAGTGAACTCAGGTTCCTGCTAGTGCAGCATAATGTCTCGGATGCTATTCAATCCGAGCTCTTTTCCAACGGTATCGATACCGTCGCTAAGTTCGCAGCCTCAGCTACGGACGAAGCGGACCTCAAGAAGATGCTAAAGGACAGCTTCGCTATCGAACCGTCCACCTCGCTCGCTAGCCGTGCTCAGGCAGCGGGGGTCACCATCGCATGGAGGACCGCTAACTCCCGCTCCGAGCGGCAAGCGGAGGCGGAAGCTACCAGCGAGGTCAGGGATTGGGCAAAGCCCATCCCCGCTACCGATTATATGGCGATGCGCCAGGCCTTCACCGCTAAGTTTGGGGACCTGGAAGACAAGCAGACCCCCGCTAAGGAGTACATCGAAAAGAAGCTAGCCGAGCTCGAGTCCGCCGAGTTCCGGGCGGAACCGCTAACGGAAGTGATCAGCCGGGACGAGTGGGACCCCGACACGCTACTGCCCGTCTGGAATGGCAATGGCACGCTATCCATGAAGAAGGGTGGTGCTAGGGCTCCGACGCCCTCTGGGCCGGAGCAGCTATACGGCTGCGGCTCACGGTTCTCCAGAACACGCTAATCATGATCCAGCTAAGGCACCCAAATCGCGAGGAGCTACAGGATGTCACAATGGCCCTCTTCGAGCGCTACAAAGACTATCTCCTCGGGGACTATTGCTATGGTCTCCGGTCCAGTGCCGACTCAGGGTCGCTAGTGCCCCCTTGGCTCCTGGTGCTCAGCTATGAGCACGCTATCCGCAAGCACGCCTACAAGGTCATGGCCACGGCCGGCTACTTCGGCGCTGCGCTAGTCCACGCCTACAAGGATGCTAGTGTGAAGGAGCGGCACTTTACCACGCCGCTGGCCCTTCACGCTAAGAGGCCGCAGCCCTGGACCTGGACGGAGGAGAGGCCCGCTAAGACGCCCAAAGGCAAGGGCAAGGGCAAAGACGCCCCCCCCAAAGGGGGCAAGGCTAAGAAGCGGCTCGGGGCTGACCGCACCCCCCAAGGGAAGCCGATCTGCTTCCGCTACAACGCTAAGGGGTGCAAGAATGGCAGCAAGTGCCACTTCGAGCACGTGTGCTCGCTATGCTTCGGAAAGCACCCCGCTACCCAGTGCCCCACGCGCAAGCAGAGTGAGACCGCTAAGGAGGACAAGCCCTCCAACTGACCCGCTATTCCCATGGAATCCTCAGCGCCTGAGACGGTGGCTACGCCAACACCAGTGGCCGCTACGCACACAAAGCCGCTAAGAGTGCTCTACCTCTTTTCAGGGGTCTCCCGCCGGCTAGATGTGGCCCAGTGCCTGCATCAGCTAGCCGGGGAGCTAGGTCTCGACGTTAGAGTCGAGTGTGTGGACCTGGTCCGACATGCTAAGTATGATCTTAGCTCGTCCAAGATCCGCCGGAGCTACTTGGACCGCATCGCTAACAAGGAGTTCGATGCTATCTTGCTGTCGCCGCCTTGCGCTAGCTTTTCCAGGGCGCCCTGGGCCAATTTCAGGGGCCCACGCCCAGTGCGCAGCTATGAGTTTCCCCGCGGCTTGGAAACGCTAACTCCAGCAGAGCGTGATCGAGCTATCCTGGGCAACATCTTTGCCGATGTCAGCTTCGAGGTCGCTACCCTGGTTGCAGACGGAGCTGCTGCTTTTCTGGCTATGGAACAACCGGAGGACCTTGGCGCTCTCGCTAAGGGTCCCCACCAAGGCGCACGGCCGGCCTCCATGTG